TCCTCTCTCTCAGTGGGGCTTTCACGACCACAAACTGACACAGTCTCACACTGACACACACACGCGCACACACACAGATCGATCCACTTCAGCACATAGCAACTGAGTGGTCACGCACGAATTACACCCATTTTGTCTCTCATGCAGAGTTTGACATTGACTCTGTCAGACTGTGCTGTGGAGTTGTCTGTGTGGAAGAGGAGCTCTTATGTAAGAAGTGCTGATGTTCTCACTAGTGACTCTGTTTGTGTGTGATGTTTTCTACGCTTGCCGATGATTTGTGTGTGTGTGTGTGTCCACAAACACACACACCACAGAGGACAGTAAGCAACAGGTGTAAAAGAGGATGTGAAAAACACAGTGAACCTATTTTCTCCTGTTTGACTTCTGAACTTTTGCTGTCACCGCTAGCATACGAGGACAGCTGTGAAAATGATCTTGTTAGCGTCACGCAGAGCGTGGCACACAGTATGTGTGTATCTCTGTGCAGATAAGTGCACCGTAAGTGACCTGCTTCTGTGTCTCCGAGTGAAACGTCTTATCTGTGGTGTGCGTTAACCAGCACATGACCGGTATATGGCAGCTGCTGATTTCACAGACGACAACAGCAAGAAAACAGCACAGGTCGTCACTGGATAGGATAGGATATGGAAGTAAATCACATTACACACTCACATTGATGACGCAGCTGTTGGATTTGTTAATTTGTCATGTGGAGAATGTCCTGCGTGAAGACGTCACCTTTATGTTGCTGACTGAAGCCTGGTCATTTAAAACTGAACTGAGGAGCTTCAACTCTATTTCAGGTGGTACCTGTCTTTTGTGTGAGGCACGTTCAATATAAAAACCTTCTTAGTACGGTTTCTTCTGTGATTAATTTCCTCAAAGCAGTGTGCAATGGCTTTGCGGTACTTTTCGGTGGGTGTGTCAGAGGTGTTACCCAATCAGCAGCAACGATAGGCCTGTATAAACCCCACTTTATTAAAAAGGCACAGTGGATCTACTTACACAACAGGGTGTGCAATTAACCACTGTTTCTGTTTAAATAAACATTTTGCTTTTGGGGGCTGAAAGTGGTCCTGGCATTGCTGCATCCACAACAGGAAAACCTCCCATTCTTCCAACTTGGGAGCATTCACACATTGTTGTAAGATGATTACTGGTTATGTATTTGTAGTTGTTTGCATGAAGATACAGACACAAGCAAAGAGCATTTAGAGCCTTCTAGTTAGCTGAAATTATGTTACAAGCATTAATATTGGACTTTATTTAGATGTAACTGCAAGCAATGGAGGCTTTGCAGCCATGTTGACAGTTATATAAAGGGAAGTACTGTTCCTTTCACGAAGCAAGAGATATTGTAGTCGCTGGAAACTTTGAAATTTGAAACTTCTCCAAACCACAACTTGACTAAACAAAAGATACAAAACGTTAACTGCATGTCATTCTCTAGCTACACTATCTTCCTTCCGTATGTCTTCTCTAATAAAGCCACAATTATGCTACAAAAATGTATATATTTTGTGTATATGTAACCTTTTGACAAACACAGAACAGCTGTTCCCAACTGTTTCCAGTCCTAATGCTAAGCTAGGCTAACTGGCTCCCGGTTGCAGCTAAATATTTACTATACAGACAAGAGAGAGGTATCGATCTTCTCTCCTAACTCACCAGCAAGAACACGAAAAAACATATTTCCAAAGATGTCAAACTATTCCTTTAAAACAAAGCCAAGTTTAGAAGACAGAACTCTGTTAAGAAAAACAGAATGACTTTAATAAGATCGGATTAGAGAAGTAAAAAAGCCCAAAAAGGGGCATCTTTGAGTTTGAGACTGTGTTGATATAAATTGTAATGTATAATCCATCCTTTGAGGTATTTTGGGGCATAATTTCATCCGTGTCTTCTTTCCTAATCTCCTCCACTGTCTTGAACTCTCAGGCCGAGAGCCTCCTCCCCCATCACTCATTTCTCCCATCATTTGTTCTTCAAACCTCTCCTATTTTAGTATGTTCCATCGAACATGATTTGCCCTCTGGTGTAGAGAAAAAAACTCCCTAAGCGCCCATCCTCTCTCTCTCACATAAAACAACGTAGCCCTGTGTGTGCGGGTGTGTGTTTCCATGCACCAACAGTCATGTTCCCCATCATGGTGGGAGTGATCAGGTCTCGGTTCACAGTGTGTACAGGGATAGTACACCCGGATCCAACAGCAGCTCTTTATAAGGACAAGGGCCTGCTGCCTCTATATTTAGATGGACTTTATTGGGCCTCTTGTCTTCGTTTTTCTCCCCCCCTCCTCTTGTGCTGCCGCTGTTAGAAATCTCTCACCAAAGCCATGTGGGCGGCCGGCCCTCCTCTCCATCACAGCGAGGGGAGAGTGAGCCTGATAATGATCTGGACTGGGTGATAATAACACAGCAGAGGAAACGAAAGAGAGATGGGAAGAGGATGGAGGGAGGATGACAGAGAAGTGGTGGGTGGTGAGAGAAGTGTTTTTCATTGCGTCTTCTTCTCTACTTCACCGAACATTATCCTCAGTGCCGGTGATGTCGTCTCTCTGCCCCACCGCCCGACAGCTCAAAGGAACTTATCTGTCATTCGTCCGGCACCCTGAAGTCCCACAACCACTGGATGGGTCTCTTCTAGTCCCATTGCTACAATTTGCACACCACAATGAGAAGCTACAGTGGCAGACAGTATTGTATGTGGAAATATGAGCATAAATACATTCCCCTTATTGGTCCCCTTTACATACCTCTACTTTCTGGCCTTATCGCTAGAGAAGCATATTTCTCAAGAGCTTTGACCTCTGCTGTCCAAATTTACTGCCAATGACAACCAGTACTTTAGCATGGCGCACTCTTATCCACCTATCTCTTTCTTTCTTATCTTACTTGCTAACCTGGTGATTCTAATAAAGTATAGTCAAACACTAACGGACCCGTGTTAGCTCTCACTTTGCTGCCGAGGTGAAAAAGAGAAAAGGCTTTGCTGTGCATTTGCATCAGATGGGGGCCTAATGCCCTTAGCAAGACTTGAGCCTTTACAAAGAAAGGACTCAGAAAATGTTGAGTAAACATGGGCTGAGAATTGTTCACGACAAATTTTAGCGACTTGTGTTATAGTCCTAACAGTAGCAGTAGTTGAACCTCAGTCTACACACCAATGTTAGCAGCTCTGGGAGGCTGCACTTAATTAGGCCGACATGATCTCAGAACTATTTGAAATATCCACAACCTCTGAACAGCGCATTACGCAGTGGTGGCACTTAGCTATAGCTTCAACCATGGTCACCATCTTAGTTTAGTAGTGCAGCTGAGGCGTACATGATGATGGCGCTAGAGAGAAAGTCAGGGGATTACCAAACCCATTAGGGTGTATTCTGAAAGGGACATGAACGTCTCTCAAATTAAATGGAAATCCATCAGATAAGTCACAATATTTCCCTTTGAACCACAAATGTATTTGATAGGGGGAAAAGTCAGGGGATCACCTATTAGGATACCACGTAAAACATGTGCCAATCCATCTAGAAGATGTTTAGATAGTTCACAGCATAAGCGAAGATTTTAACCTGCTGGTGGTGGAAGATGAAAAGTCTGAGGATCACCAAAGTCATCACATTTCATGGCAAAACCATCCAATAGCGACATTGCCATCGATAGCATGGCTAATAATGCCCTTGCAACTTATAGACGACGCTTGTCTGACTGGGTTTGTTGCCTCAAATACTGCAAGTGAAGAGCTCGTCTGTGACTGATTGTACTTATCTTGTACAAACTACCCTGGAGACATGGCAGGCTGGAAAGGAGACCAAAGGATCTTGATCTTTACCTCACAGGCAGGTGGGACTGAAAGAGGCAAAAAGATTTGCATACGAGCTGCCAAATTCAGGAGTCGCTCAAGAAAAGCATCAACTGCCATGCAAATGAGAAGCAAATGAGATTCAAACCAGACCAGAGTGGTGTTTTTGTGTGTGTGATACTATGTGCAACCATCTCACCATGTATCCATGCAGTCATTTGTACCACTGACTAAAAGATCTGTCAAGTTTTACCACAGCAGTAACAGCAGCCCTCTGGGGAAAGACAAGGCATGACATCAGAATAGTGGAAGCAGCGCTGAAGACAATAGTTCTCTGTGCGGGAGTAGAGCCGAGGCGTGGCCTGGCTCCACAGAGGGTCGTCTCAGTGGACCAGTCAGCCTCAGCAGCTGTCTCAACCTCTGTCTGTGTCTCTGTCACACACACAATTTCAATCCAGCATGAAAGCTGACATAGCATTAGGGCAAAGGATCAACAGATTTATGTTAAATCCCTTAACTCCTATGTATCTGTGTGTGTGTGTGTGTGTGTGTGTGTGTGTGTGTGTGTGTGTGTCCATGGTCAGTTCCAGCTCAGGAATGCAGGGACGGAGGTGGAGTAGGAGGAGAGCCCCGGAGAAAGAAACAAAGTTCGTACAAACTGACAAAACAAAGAGCCAATGGACAGAAAGGCCCCCCACTGACAGGAGTCCTGGCGTGATAGTAGCCTAGATAAGTGTGCGCGCACGTGTGTGTGTGTGTGTGTGGGCTAATGTAAACAAATTACACACAGCCTGCCAACATGATAGCACTGTATTTACACTCCATTTGTCTTCTGGTAATTGCTTGAGGAGATGCTGGAAAAGCTTCCAGACATGCAGCCGCTGCACATCTTGTGCCAGAATGCTGAAGTTCAAGATACTTACGCAGATCCTCCAGTGGAGAGCCCTGTACTTTAAACAGCCATAAAGGTTTACAAACCATGACAAACCATGAGTGAAGAAGCTCACCACATAGCTGAATTTCACGTTGAGAGGAGAGAGAGAGAGCGAGCTACATCACTGAGGGGAGCTGAGGCTGAAGTTAGAGCCTCGTCATAAGTCCTTCTGGGTTGTCAAAAGGAGTCCTGCTAGCCTTTAAAAAGACAGCTCAATACGTGGTGTGCAAACAGCAGGCGGGCATCAGTGAGCATGTATGAGCGATGTATCAACACAAAACCCACCTGCCCTTCAGTTTAGGTCCAATGACAACAAATGCAAACAAAAGCCCTGTGCAATACGCCCAGCCTGGAGGGCCGCCCGGCTATTTGTTCAGCCTCTCATTCACCTGTGAGGAGGATTCAATGGGTCTGCATGTTAATAAAAGCTTTCATACACACGGGCTGATGGCATTATGCATTTGCATAGAGGCCATCGACCTAAACTGAGGTTTATTTTACATGAGGATCAGGCCGTTCTTGCAGCCTCCAGCCTGGCTGTAAGCTCTGCTCAAGGACACTGAGCTTGAGTTTATATTTTCAACCGGTCCGTTCTGAAAAGATGGTTTAGCTGTATTAATTTACATTCAGACAGTTTCCACTCAGGGTCTTGCAAGCATACCGATATGCTGTATATACACTACACATGTGTGCGTATACATGTCTGGCAAATTAAAAAAAGAACCTAGAGGTATCATAGTTGCTGCCATATAATATATGTAAGATAAATGTATTTTCACACAGTAACAAACATCCTGATAGCACCGTTCCTCTACGCTTGACAAAGCCTTATGATAATACTTGGGCACTGGGGGTAAAACAAACAATGAGGAGATTGATATTGATATCAACACTTTCACCTAAATATATATATTTTTTAAATGCTTTAGAAGAAAAAATTTGGAGCTACTGACATGGCTGTTAAAACTTGGGTGGACACGTGCCTGTGACCATGTCATGGTCGGTGAAAGAGCAGCGTGTCCGACGTTTGTGTTGTGAACCCTCAAGCAGATGCACAGCGTGGCGTGAGACACAGTCTCCTGATACGTGAGGGTATCTTCAAGTGAAGACTGTGATACACACCACACTGACTCATGCTGCGTTGAGCTAATGTCAACCACAGGAGCCTTCGCTATGCAAATTCTATGGGCCTCGTCAGTCAACAGACGATGACTGCCATCTTGTGGTGACTCAGCAAAGAGGAGCACTTTCCGCTGCGATGTGAAGAGTTTAGTAAGATGAGACTATTTAACATGTTTTCTCACAAAAAGGGGAAAGTGAGCCAGAAGTAATATAATTACTCATTCCTCCGCATGTTGACTTTTAAATGGAGCAAAAACAACAAGGTGGGTAAATAGAAAAAAAAAAAAACATAAAGTAGAAATACTTGTATGCTATTTTGCATATTCACACAATAGATTGTATGACTTTACGTAGTAATAAATAAACAAACAAGAAAGCAAGTTAAAAAAAACAAACATATGACAAATAATCTCGCTCATGGCAGTTTCCTTTGGGTTACCTCACAAGATGCTCCCTCCTATTGGTGTAGTAATATTACTGTAAATACCAATATAAATTATTCTACAGCCAGCACATAAACAGTGGAGCAAGCTGAACCTCTGGCTTAATTTAAACATACATAAATAGATACGAGTCATTAAAACATGAATGCATAATGTTTTTTGAGCATGACCTATTTAGCCTATAAGCTTGATAAAATATAAAGTAAAATCTAACTTTCTGTCTATGCACTGTGGCAGTTATGGAAAATGGTCAACAATAGGAATATAAACATAGCAACATCAGAAATATGAATTGATCCAATGATGTTGAAGCATTATGTGAATCAGTAGCAGCAGTGTTTATTCAGTACGCTGAGGACTCGTCTGCACTGAAGAAAAAGACGACAGCACACACTGTGATGATGCATATCCTCTGAATTGTGCATTTCATACACTTACAAACAACTGTCCTCACGTGGTACTGATTTATTCAAACATTTGTGTGTATTGTTTTCACAACATTACAATGGTAAAAGAAAAAAACAACATAAAAATTCACCTGACAAAGAAAGAAAGACAAATAAAGTCTCGTATGCGTTTTAAATGCTACTGATCAATTGAGCATTCTGCTGTACATGACCAACAAAAACTACGACAGAAATGTCCCTAATTAAATCACGCAGACCTGCAGTAAACAGTATCACACATCATCATAAATACAGCGGTTTACTGACCATCTAACAGCCGTCACAGCTATTCTTGATTTGCGTCAATCTGTGGGATAAAGATTCTTCGTCCAACATTCTTTTCTGGATAAACACCAGACACAAACTGTTTCTACTTTTCTCCGTCCAGTAACTTGAGGATGCTTTCCCTCTCCTTCAGTGCTTTCCAGGCCTGGTCCTTCTCCTTCTTGGTTGGAGTGCGTTTCTTCTGCCTGGCTGCCATGATTCGCCGAAATCCCTCCATGACCTCGTTGTCAGACACCCTGACCCTCTGCCTCAGCTCTTGCTTGCGCATCTCCTCTTTTGCCAACCTGTGAGGCAGCAGAAGTACAAAACTTAAGGTCAACTGCTGATTGTGGATCAGACTTTAATTGAAGTACAGCTTAGTGTACTTTGTGGTACATATATATTCATTGTTGGCCTGTGTCCTCACCGGAGTAGCTCCTGCTTACGGGCTCTGTTGTGACCACTCAGGGCTTTGAGCTCCGCTTGCCTCTTCTGCAGCTCTGCCAGGACCTCGTCCTCAGAGTCTCCTCCCAGTCCAGGTCGCTCCTCTGAGTCCAGCAGCCCCTGAGCCACCAGCTCCTCTTTGATCCGAGCCTCTAGAGAACGTGTGTGAGGAACACTGGAGGGGGACGAGACAGATCGAAGGTATGAGACATGTGACATAGAGCGAAGTCAAAAAACTTCAGGATGGCAATTTGAGACTAGACTCACAACCAACTGTAGACAGGCGGCCGCAGTCAGATCAACAGTGTGACCCGTGTATATGTGTGGAAAGATAAATATACTTCACATACAGCTCAGTTCTCTTTAGTGAATGTATCTACAGTTCATGGGTGATGTGAAAGACGATAGGCCTCATTCACAAGTCTGTAAACACACAACTTTTAAAACAGCATCCATTAAACAAGGCTTTAGTAGACAACAGTTTATCTACTCAATTGATACCGTTTCATCCTCATCAATTATTGTTCATCAAAATATATATTTATTTATATATAATATTAGTGTAGCCAAATACCGGGTTTAAACAGAATACAGTATAAACAAAAGAAGTTATGCAGCATTCAAATGTTGATTTTGATTTTCAACGTTACGAATGAAGCTTCAAACTATTTGGTTCAGCTCTGATAAGATTATGAAATGAATTACCTCTGGGTGAAAGTCCTTGCTGGATGTCCTCACTTTCACCCTAATTTCTTGGACACATCCCACTTATGGATGTTTGTCCAACAATTGTGCCGAGTCTCTCATCTCGGGTTGAAAAATCAGATGGTCCTCCTCCTGTTTCCTTATTTTTCTTCCGGTCTGTTATTCTCTTTTTGCATAAACTTTAATATCCAACTTCTTCTTTTTTTAAATGAGCCACAGTCATTATCTCAGGTGACACAACATTCACCGCCTCGGTCTATCTGTTGTTGTTTTTTAAATCCTCGTCACTCTCGTGGAAACACTTCAGAAAGCTTTTTCTGCCTTCCACTTCAGACTATTATCTCATTTCTTCATAAGTATTTCCTTATATAGAAAATGGCTGCGTGGCAGTATGCTGATTGAAATAGCGGACGCGTGTTGGTTCATTTAGATTGGTTCTGATTCATGGTGGCAGAACTAAATTGGCCGGTGTGCACATGATATGAACACGGCTGTAATTTTGCGTGTGCGCTTATCTTGTGTGCAAAGTCAGAACATTTCTACGCACATATTAGTGAACGAGGCCCAATGACCTGGGGTTAACCCACGATAGTCTGGTACGAATGGCTTGAACATGTGTTTATTATCCTACGGTGGAGAGCTAATCTTGATGCTTCTGATTTCTATATTCAAATGTAGTGTTGGACAAATACCTGAAAGCTTTTCCTTGGCTTCTAGGAGACGTCCCAGCGCCATCAATAGCATCCTTCCCTGAAATGTCCGGTATGGGTGAATCCTCCATGGGGGATATAATGTTCTCCTGGAAGAACAACGTGGTCGTGTTTGAGCGTTTTCACAATATTCAAACATGAATATTTCAGATGCTATATCTCACTCATCAGTCATTTGTATTTTCAAAAGCCAATATGCATTATTGGAAGTTTTATCAGTGCACGTGATCACAGCACACTGACCTCTACAAGGGCCTGGAGCAGACGCTGCGTGAGAGGACCGAAGGGACATCCGTCTTCTGGAGATTCATGTTGGGACTCAGACTTTTTCAACAAGGAGTCCACATCTACAGCAGTTGAACATGAAGAGGAGTATTAAGGTGGATACATGCTTGTGCAGTATGGTTATGTCAAGGGCACACTGGCCCATGCACCCTCACCTTTTGCATCCAGCTCAGACAGCGGCCCTCCCATGAGGCTCTTCTTCTTGTCATTAGCTCGTGCTCCTTCCCTCTGCTCCTCCAGCAGATCTTCCTGAGCCCACCGCTGAGAGTAGTGTTTCCCCAGAGCCGGAATCTACAGTTCACACAGACAGTAAAGCTCAACACACATCTAAAAATGAAAATTTTGCATTACACAATAAAAAGACCCATACATTTGGCAATGCCTTGAGTGAATTTAGGTGTAACACAATAATAAAGGTACGTGGTTTTTTTTATGTCGTACTTTGAAATACTCAGCCTCATCCTCCGGGGGTTTCAGAAGCTCTTCTAGCAATCGTATCTCTTCATTCGTGATATCGGCACAATATGGCTCAACTGATGCCCAGAATCTGAAAAAATAAAAATAAATGAACACAAACAACCTTGCCAGAACAAACAAAGCAAATACAGAACTGAGCGATATTATGAATGGCGGTTGTTGCTGACCTGTTGGGTGCATCGTTTTTAGGTGTGCGTGGAATGTCTTGTGGATCGTCGGTGAATTCATACTCTGGGACTTTAGGCAGCAGATTTTTGGATTTGGGTCTGCCAGGACCTGGACCTGGTGCGTGAGCGCCTTTGCCGTCCAACTTCTGCTTTTTTGGTTTGTGGCGAGATGAGGCAGCTGGGTCTGGGTCTTTTCCCAGCTTCAGAAAGCGCTTGTCTCCCTTCTTGTCCTGCCAGTCTGTGAGGATCTGAGAGGCAGCGCAGAGAAGAGGGGTTACAAACAGGACTGGATCACGGACCTGTGAGGCCCCTGGGCACATTCCTTGTGGAGGCCCCTCCTCCTCAGCTTGATTATGGCAAAAGTCATAATCACGAATATTTAGTCCATTCCTGCAGAAAGAGAAGGTGCAGCAAGCACATAAACCCAAGCAGACCTAGAGCCAATCCAGATGTTACGCTTGATGTGTGCACTGAGGGGCCTGGGGGGCCCTAGTGGTCAACTCACACCAGAAGCATATGCATCCTGAGGCCTCGGGCCATAGTTGTCCCTGGGGCTCTAGGGGTCACCTTACACTTTAAGCCGCAGGGGCCCTAGTGGTCTGGGGGGGCCCTCACATTCTAAGCCCTGAGGGGTGTGGGAGGCCCCCATGACCGGCTTGCATTGTGCTCACTGAGGGCCTTGGTGTTCAACTTCCTACAGATGTCTCAGGCCACATTGGAGGCTCCCTGGCAATCCGAGGCCCTCGAGCACCCATAACCCATCCATGGTTACAAATAGTAAACCAACACGAGAGAGGCAATGTGAAAAGTGACATTTTTGCTGTCTTCATTTGAGATTCACAGACACAGAAAACTGACCATACCACAAAACAAGTTAGATGGATAATGGGTCCCAACTTCCTATACCTGTCTCTGCTCCTCTAGGGCTCGGAGGCGGCGACTGGCTGAGGAGAGCAGCGTCTCCAGCTCCAGCTGCAGGGTGTCCAGCTCCTCAATGCCGATGCCATCGTCCTCCGAGCGGCCGAGCACAGCAGTGTAGCGCGGACACACTTTGACATGCTCCACGGGCTTGAAGTCGTAGTATTTCAGTGGGGGGCAGTCCTTCAACTCACTCATGATGCTGTGTGGCGAAGACCTGGCAGCGTCTGAAGTAACTGATACAAGAAGATCGACAGTGCGTGAGCTATTATGATCATTAAGACACTGACACAGAGGTGTCCAGCTGTGGTTCAGTTCCTCTGCATCTCTCCATCAATACACGCATTAACACACACACACACACACACACACACACACTCAAGCACGCACGCACGCAAATACACGTACACGCAGGTCTGCTGTGTAGAACGCGAACTCGCTGGGCCCAAACTGCCCAAATTACTGTTACATGTAAATATCGGTAGCTATGATTTCACGATTTTGCACACGAACATTTTACATTCAGTTGACCGAATTACAAGAATTGAATAGAACTAACGAAAAGCACAGATGTATATCGAAGAATGTTTAAGAGGATTGATATTTACGGTCAGTGTATGGCGTCCATGATGGATTGAGCCATTGTGGTAACAGAGGGGTGTGAAAATTGTTCAAATTGATACATGGCCTCTTTTCGATAAAGTCGCATTTAGAACGTTATTTGATCACACAATACTATACACATTGCAGGTTTAGGTTGTGTTATTGTGTTAACATAGCAATATCATCTTGAGTGATGTGACGGCGAGTACCGAGCTAATGGTACAATGGTATCATCGGATCAAACCATATTTTGTCACGGTGCATACTAAAACATTTTCGCGAAACCTGTCGTTCCGTAATCTAATTGGATCATATGTGTATTGTAACGTTGCTATTTAGCATTTTTTTTATTCAAGAACATGTTATAAATGTAAAAATGACTGCTGAACCAACGGTCGCGGAGCGATATGTCTCCTCTTCAGAGACCGGAATGGATTAATCGGTAGGGTATGTTCGTTTTACAGAAAACATACTCCAACTGGGCGGAGTTATACGCGAAAAACAGTTGCATGTCTGTGGTGCGGAGAAATCCGTCTCGTCAAACCAAAGAGCGATATGGAAAACAAGCGCACCCTATCTGTACTAGACGATGTAGAATTTACGGAAGAGGAGTCCCAGGCGTGGCTGAGGAACTTCCGTCTTTTACAACACAAAAATGGTAAGTGTCTTGCACTAAATGTACCTGTATATTTCATAATTTAGCCATTTATCTCCGCTAGCTGTGGCTAGATTTAAGGCGAGATTAGCTAGCTAGCCTCGTATTTGTCGTAGACGGGGGTTTGTGGTGAAATGAGAGGACGGGCATCCTTGAAACGCTTTGCAGAAACTAAAGTGATCGAGCTGAGCTGTCTTTTTTTCCTCTCGGCCCCCCTTTTTCCTCATCATTGCGAAGAGTCCGCTCCCCCAAAAGCTCTGTCAGTAGACTAGGAGGAAGATGTGTATCTGTTGTGATGTAGGAGGACGTAAATCATGTGAATGGGCTGCAATGTCGGTCACCGATCTGCTAACGTTACCGCGAGCGAAATCAATGTTTTAAAGACCCTGATATGGATTACCATCATGTTTGTCTTTCTAAAAAAGACAGACAGTCGTTCTATCTCTAAAATATAAAGATGGAAACCTTAAAGTGCAACTGAGCAGCATCCACTGCACATAGCACATTTTGTTTGGTTCCTGGTCAAACATGACCTCACAGGCTGACCCTGCTAATCAAGTCCCCCTCACTAGACTGTGGGGTTCAGTATGCTTATTAAACCTGATCCAAACTCTTAACTAACAAATGCATCATCCAACAAGATCTCCTTGATACCTAGATAATGACCTAATGCAATGTCTCCTCAGACAGCGACTCTGCGCCCCTACTTAAACGCTGTGAGGGCCACCTTGCAAGCAGCCCTCTGTCTGGAGAACTTCTCCTCTCAGGTGGTGGAGCGTCACAACAAGCCGGAGGTGGAGGTCAGGTATGTTTGATGGCATGTGTGTTTGGAGTTGTGCAGTCTCATTAGTTGTCCCCCTGATTTGCGGTTTCTGCAGCTTTCACACAAGTGCAGACTTGTGCCAACTTGCATAAGAAAATCTATGAGGGGAGGAAAAGAATGGCACGAGCAAGGCCTTGAAATGGGCCTGTGGGGACTTGCTGCAGCCTATTTGGAGGTGTCTTTTTCAAATCCAATGAGAAGATTGCGAGTTATTCAACAAGTCACTTTAAGAGCCACGTAGACTCAAGACAGTAATTGAATTCTCTCTGTAATGGCTGGATTGTTCTGTGGTTACAGGAGCAGTAAGGAGCTGCTACTTCAACCTGTGATGATCAGCCGTAATGACAAGGAGAAGGTTCTCATCGAGGGATCCATCAACTCTGTCAGAGTCAGCATTGCTGTCAAACAGGTGATTTTAAAACAGGCTGTTATTGGTTATGAGCTATGCAAAACACACACTTCCTAATTTTCTTTCACAGTCTAAAATGCATTTTTAAAATCATAAACTTCTTCACTGCAGGCTGATGAGATTGAGAAGATCCTTTGCCACAAGTTCATGCGCTTCATGATGATGAGAGCGGAGAACTTCTTCATTCTGAGGAGGAAACCAGTAGAGGTAAGAGAAGAGAGAGAGAGATGAACGGGTAATCTGGGTTTTGTATAAAAGAATGTGAGGGACGAAAGAGGAATCAATATACAGGAAGAATCAAAAAACAAAACAGGAACAGAGTTTATCTTTAATATGAAAATATGTCAAAGTGCTCTTCATGCACATATGTCATAGAAACTACAGTTGTGTGAAAAAGTGTTTGCCCCCTTCCTGATTTCTTATTTTTTTGCATGTTTGTCACACTGAAATGTTTCAGATCATCAAACAAATTTAAATATTAGACAAAGATAACACAAGTAAACACAAAATGCAGTTTTTAAATGAAGGTTTTTATTATTAAGGGGGAAAACAAATCCAAACCTACATGGCCCTGTGTGAAAAAGTGATTGCCCCCCCCTGTTAAAACATAAATTAACTGTGGTTTATCACATCTTTGGAAAGCTGAGTTCAATTTCTCTAGCCACACCCAGGCCTGATTACTGCCACACCTGTTCTCAATCAAGAAATCACTTAAATAGGACCTGCCTGACAAAGTGAGGTAGACCAAAAGATCCTCAAAAGCTAGACATCATGCTGCGATCCAAAGAAATTCAGGAACAAATGAGAAACAAAGTAATTGAGATCTATCAGTCTGGAAAAGGTTACAAAGCCATTTCTAAAGCTTTGGGACTCCAGCGAACCACAGTGAGAGCCATTATCCACAAATGGCGAAAACATGGAACAGTGGTGAACCTTCCCAGGAGTGGCCGGCCGACCAAAATTACCCCAAGAGCGCAGCGACGACTCATCCAAGAGGTCAAAAAAGACCCCAGAACAACATCCAAAGAACTGCAGGCCTCACTTGCCTCAATTAAGGTCAGTGTTCATGACTCCACCATAAGAAAGAGACTGGGTAAAAATGGCCTGCATGGCAGAGTTCCAAGACGAAAACCACTGCTGAGCAAAAAGAACATAAAGGCTCGTCTCAGTTTTGCCAGAAAACATCTTGATGATCCCCAAGACTTTTGGGAAAATACTCTGTGGACTGACGAGACAAAAGTTGAACTTTTTGGAAGGTGTATGTCCCATTACATCTGGTGTAACAGTAACACGGCATTTCAGAAAAGGAACATCATACCAACAGTAAAATATGGTGGTGGTAGTGTGATGTTTGGGGCTGTTTTGCTGCTTCAGGACCTGGAAGACTTGCTGTGGTAAATGGAACCATGAATTCTGCTGTCTACCAAAAAATCCTGAAGGAGAATGTCCGGCCATCTGTTCGTGACCTCAAGCTGAAGCGCACTTGGGTTCTGCAGCAGGACAATGATCCAAAACACAGCAGCAAGTCCACCTCTGAATGGCTTAAGAAAAACAAAATGAAGACTTTGGAGTGGCCTAGTCAAAGTCCCGACCTGAATCCGATTGAGATGCTGTGGCATGACCTTAAAAAGGCGGTTCATGCTCGAAAACCCTCCAATGTGGCTGAATTACAACAATTCTGCAAAGATGAGTGGGCCAAAATTCCTCTACAGCGCTGTAAAAGACTCATTGCCAGTTATCGCAAACGCTTGATTGCAGTTGTCGCTGCTAAGGGTGGCCCAACCAGTTACTAGGTTTAGGGGGCAATCACTTTTTCACACAGGGCCATGTAGGTTTGGATTTTTTTCCCCCTTAATAATAAAAACCTTCATTTAAAAACTGCATTTTGTGTTTACTTGTGTTATCTTTGTCTAATATTTAAATTTGTTTGATGATCTGGAACATTTAAGTGTGACAAACATGCAAAAAAATAAGAAATCAGGAAGGGGGCAAACACTTTTTCACACAACTGTATATACTGGCATAAAATCCCTCAATATTCCCGTGATTACAATGACACAAGTGATTAAAATGTGTTGACCGGTCTCTCCAACGCTTTTCTGCGTCCCTTGCACTGTGGTTTCAGGGATATGATATTAGCTTCTTGATTACCAACTTCCACACGGAGCAGATGTACAAACACAAGCTGGTGGACTATGTCATCCACTTCATGGAGGAGATCGACAAGGAGATCAGCGAGATGAAACTGTCCGTTAATGCCAGGGCCCGCATCGTTGCTGAGGAATTCCTCAAGAACGTAAGAAACTTGCTCTCTGCTTTTAATTTAGATATTATTTGTTTTGTTTTTTTCTGCATAAAACAGTCAGACTAATAGCTGTAATTGTGGACACATGTTCTGTATTGTTAAAGAAAATAATTAGATTTCTCCTCTCCACAGTTCTGAGTGCAATGTTGGTCCCAAACAAGCAGAGAAAACGCTCCAAAGGCCCAATCAGCACAAGAGTGGAAAACTAAAGGAGTAAACAGCCAATCAGCGAGGAGATGAGAGGGACATGACCAATCCGGCGATGACACCATTTGCACCATTCTCGAGTACTTCCCTGTACTCATGAATATCAATGACTGTATATAATGAAATATTTACCAGTTTCATTTTCAGCCACGTAGAACAAATCCCCATTCAAAGGCGGGTCCTTAAAGTATTAATCCAGATGATAGCCACGAGTACAGGGGCATTGAGAATGTGCCGTTGCAAATTAACCGGCCAGGTTTTTGTATTTTGTGTATGTGAGTCAGCGTGATCTGTCGCTGTCGGTTCAAATTAGTTTTCAAAATTTTCTCTGTTCAGGAACGCCATGTTTGGGGAAAGTAGTCTGTGTGGCGTTAAATGACTGTCATGGAGCAAGAGCTGTCTATACAGAAACCACCAAAACACACGTATGAAAATAATGATAAAAGATAATAAAACTCAGTTGTTTATACCTTTTGGTGTTCCTGTTTAAATACTAAATATCATTCTGTGTTGTTTGTCCTGCTGCTGTACCTTTAACAGATCTGTTCTGCCTGAGGAAGTCGTTTGTATTCAGCTCTTCACCACAAACTCTCTTTATATACTTGCTGTGTTATTTCAGCTGTGGTGAAAGGGAAGTAACGCAGCACACTGTGAAACATTCTGGTTTTACACCATTTGTTCACATCAATGCGATCCAAATTAACTATAGAGTGTGGTTCACAGAGAAGAAAGAAGCAAATTCAAAATAAGAATAACCTTTGAAAATTCACTCTTAATTTCCTTGGGACATGCAATACCTCCCTACAGGTACACACACACACACACACTGATCCACAAGACTTGTAATGCTGGATTTGAAATGCTTTTGCTCAACTGCACTGAAGTAATAATGGTTGAAGAAGGGCTATCCCAACCACAATTGTGCCACAACCTATTGGCATATTTTTTTTATGAAAACGGCAAGATAAACGGATCAAATAACCCTGTGGACACTCCCTGCTCACCTTTTTGATTCTGATCATGCGGCCTCCTCCCCTTCAGTTCCTCATGTCAGGGAACCAACATGTGACGGAGAACCCAGAACCTCATCCAACCTCCATCAGCCGTCACCGACACTTTATTAGTACGCCAATCCGTCTTACCGGCACCCTCTACATGTTCTCCATAAATAACAGAGCAAACAATTAATTCATCAACAGAAAATGAACAAGCAACATTTTAGATATTCGATATTTTTAGCACAAGTGTGAATACAAGACATTAAATATCTTTGGTTTTAGAGGCAGTTGGTAAGACAAAACAGCATTGTAGAATATTAACTTGGGCTCTGATGCCCATTTCTTTATTTCTGTTTTTTTATAGACTCAATTATTCATTGATAATGTGCTGGGAGATTAATTAAAGGTAAAATAATCATCAGTGTAGCCCCAATAAATACTTAATCCCACAATGACAGAGATAATGACGGACTGGTTTATAAAAATAACATCTTTAACTAGGGCGTACATTTTGAAGTCATCACACATAAACAGCTTTCAGCTTATATTATTTTCCAAAACCGTTGCACCTCAGATGTGTTCTTCACAAAAACATGTTCATATTTCATTGAAGGTGTGTTTGTAGAAACAGATGATTAACATCAGCTATGACTTGATTTGACCCGTCTGTATAAAATGTTTGTTTTCACCAAAAGTGTAATTTAGTTTCCACGCATCAAACATAAGATATATACAACATCATGCTGTATATATCCATGTTTCTGCACGTGACTACTACTGTACTGTAGCACGGCTTTCAAGACAGTTTGCCTTATTAGAAATGTTTTTTTGGATTGATACATTAGATGATTTGACCTTTTTTGGATGAGTCAGCGTCCGTTGAAGTCATGTAAATGCAGATTACCACAGCTATTTCATCACTGTCTATTTGGATCACACCATGTACATGGCAGCAACTCTTGGGAAACTCTTTTTGGCATTGCAAGATCATCCTTTAACTGACTGCACCTTTTAACAAAGTGCCGGTATTATTAGCTGTGAGTATCAGCTCACGTTTTGTTATCTCTCTAAATGGAGGCAGGAAGAAATATGTGTGTGTGTGTCTGTGTGAGACACAGTGAGCGTTTTGTTCAGGGTGATGAATGGCAGCACTTTCTTATGCATCCCAGTGGAGTCTTTGCATACGAATGAATGGGGGGAAACCTCGGAGTCTTCAGTTCTCACAGCACAGTACGCAGGAAGGGAAACGCTGTGGATCGTACCAATAGGAAGGAAGTGGTCTGTCACTTTTGATCCTCAAGTATTAAGATGATGACCCATCTTTGACCCATGATTCCAAATATTAGAGAGGAAAGCTCTTTTCATTTCAAATGTTCTTAAAATGAGGCACAAGAAGGGAAACAGTTGAGTTGAGTTTATTTAGAAACAAACAGAAATATTTCCTCTTATGTATTATACTTTAAGAACCTTCACATTCAACAAAAAAACCAATGAAACAAAGTATGAATGTGCTTCGAGGATCTTCATTAGACAGTGCTAACCATCCTAAAGCTACAGACAAGCTGCAATAGAGGACATTTAATGAGAAAATAAACAGAGTTGATTCGTTTATGTGCAAAATATAAAAAGGCACAATTTTGTTTTGGGTTGTGCAAAGCTGTAAAACTAAGAGTAGAGCGACCCGACTTCTACCAACAGAAATACAAAGAAGACCGCTAAAAGTTAACATCGTAAAATAATTTCAAAAGGCAAAATCTATAACAAAACAAACTACATCACAACAAACAAAAGGTGCTTCAATTTCAATGCTTCACACTTTGTATTATGGCATCAATTCAGAAACACGTCATCTGCTTTTCATTCATTCTCCAAAAATGGGAGAACATGCTCGAGACACAAGATCCGCGTCAAAATTAGAAACTGGATTCCAGTCAATTACCATCATCATCATCATCAGAACAGCGGAGGGTGATTCAATCAAAGGAAGGTGGAGAAGAACTGGAGGTTGCCGAGTTTGCCCGGTACAGTGTGCGTAAAGACGGGTGGAGGAGGATGGGGGGGGGGGGAGACTGCCTCATTGGTGAGCTGGCACTGTTAGCAAAGCCTCCTTTGACATCCGCGACACTTCTACGTTCTGTTTGATAAAAAAAACAACACACACAAAGAGGGGGAGGGATGAAAACACATCGGACATACTAAATCCACTGCACACAGACGAAGCTAAGACCCGGACGTTTAGAGGCGTGTTTATGCATCCGTCACTTACGCGTCCGCCAGCTCCTGACTAAGCCTAGATGGTGCAAAAAGTAACTATTAGGTCGGGCTTAGTAATGACCGACATTAGACCTGTTGGTGCAACCGGCACCTGAGGCCGTCGTAGCAACCTGTTTGTGAACCATCTTCCTTTTACAAAGTGGCTTCAGTGTGTGCGCTTGCTGGGTGTGTGTGTATGCTGTTAACAATATACCCACCTCCGGCCTTTCTCTGTGTGTGTTGACTGCATCCACGTTTAAGCTGATGGACTCCACTTTACAGCCTGAGCAGACAGAACATTTGTTTCTATTAGTTCAGTTCTTTTCCCCTCTTTCTTTTAATTAGAAATAGATTCATCACGTGCAATATAAGCTAACAGGAGACCAGTCTCACCGTAGGCCACTGGCGTTAGCTTCAGCACAGTGTGCAGCGGGCACTTCAGGTAGGGCAGCTCCTCTGTGTGGAGACAAACACATTCATGAAACAAAGAACTCTTATTCCTGAACAACACTTGCATACACTACTTCTTTTAATCTATAACTTGTGATCTTCAAGGAGTAATGTTTATAGCAAGGGCAGGAGTGGGAAGGTAAAGATATTGTTTGAGTTAACACAAATACATTCGTTACAGTAAGTGCAATGAAAACTTTAATTATTTGTAATTTATTAAAATGCCTGTTCAACCAGCATTACCTTGTTGTGTCCGCAGTGTCCCGTTAATCACTGGTATGTTCAAGCCACAGAGCACTAATTAGTCCAACAGTTAATCTTTATGAAGCTAATCAGAATTAGCAGCAATAGGAGGACAGTGAACAGGATGAAGGATCGTAACGGATTTCTGTTACTGTTCTTTTTAAGCGTCACTCAGTGGTTTGTTATGTTTAAAAATAAATACATTCTACACCTGTTCTAATATTACTCCTACATTTTTATATTTTATAAAAATAAAAAAGAGAAGAGTATGTATGAAGTATCGGAACACACTAGTATCAATAAAATCCTAATAATAGTCATCTATAGTCTTGAAATATACAATATAAACTGTAGTATTTTTAAAGAAAAAAATGGAATGAAAGAAAACTAAATCTCATCTTTAATCATATTTTTTTTGCTGCAGTTCCCTGGTCTACAACATGGGAATCAGGTCAGTCAGCAAAGCGTGAAACACACTTCTCAATCTGGTCACTATGGAAGTATGTCACAGCTTTACACTGAACGTTTCACGGTGTACAAAACATTTGATCCAGTGCTTTATTCAAAATGAGTCAGAAATAAGGGAAGATGTGCCTTCAAGATAATCTTATGTAATCTTCATTCTACTGGTTATTTTTTTGGTGTGAGGTATTAAACCATGCTTTTCCCTCAACTTACTTTATCTACTTCTACTGAGTGGATTTAGTGACTTCCTACATCTCCCACCACCTCTGAAGAAGTCAAGAGTCTGATTTAACGAGCGCTGCCTTCAGGGGTTCAGTTTAAGGACTGACCTGCTGTTTTGTCCAAGAAATAGGCCAAGAGGCAGCGCATGACAGCCTGGTGACAGACGACCAGCACGTTCTCTTGCCGCTCCAGCTCCATGATGACCGGCTCCAACCGCTGCACCAGGTCCTCATAGGACTGAGTCACAACAGATGGCAAAAGAGGCAAATCAGAGAAAGAGCAAACCGACACCTTTACATTTGAAGTCAAGATAAAACAATGGAATAAAACAAAGAAACTCGTAAATCAGGAAATTAAAACTTCCACACAATCCACTTTCTCCTCACAGTCTGCTGAATAATCTATCTCTTAAACTGATTTACATCTTTTGCAGGTGGAAAAATCCATCTCGGCTGTCTAGACCAGCGCCAGCTTTAACAAGATTCTCCAAAGCCCTGTGCGCCTGGGCAGCCAGCTAATGCCCACATCCATCTTCCTGTGTTGGATTAATGGAGTGGTAATGGGATGAACGTAAGGTGAGAACAGACCAGCAGGCATTCAGACACACAGTAAACAAGCTGACCACACAGTTCTCACTCACTCACTCACTCACTCACTCACTCGAAGTCTTTGTTTACTGTAATCTGGTGTTTAGCCAAATCATTCTAAGAGGCTGCTCGTCCATGTTGAGGCTCATTAGCAGAGTGTAAGTGGCCAGTGGCCATGTGGACACAGTTTTATTGGGTTTGTCGTGACGTGTGAGTTTTTAATATATGTGTGAGAGAGTGTGAGAGTGAGAGAGCTTCCTTATCTTCACAGAGGACGACAGACTCTGCATTGGGAAGTTGAAACATTAAAAACAGAGACACACTGTCCACAAGCATGCTACTTCAATGTTAAAATACAAGAACAGTTACATAACAACATCATTAGACAAAACATATTAAGTTGACTTTTAGCCACTGACCTCTCCTTTTGGGTAGCGATAGCGGTATTTGTCCTGGTCCCTCAGAGCAAACTCCAGAGGATAGTGATCCTGAATCTCCTCATACATCAACTCCTCACACACGCCCTAAAATGACACCACACACAGATTACACTTTTGTTAACATCGCACGCATGCAAGCAGACAGCTGTGCTTGCTTAGCAGTCGAGGACGTAGTACTCACAGCATCGATCTCGTTCAGGACCTTCCACTGTTCGTAGGGCACACTGAGAGCCTCGGCCGTCTGGATGGTTCTCTTCATCTGACTGGTCCACACCTTCAGGTCGCTGATGCCCTGAGACTGGATGAAGTGGCTCAGCTTCTTGGCAAACTGCACGGAGAAGAAAGAAATGTTACCATCTCTTCTAGTCAAGTGATAAAAACGGAAGACACATTGATGAAAAAAGTCAGATATACCTCTTTCCCTCTAGGCGTGAGGCCAGAGTCTCCACCGATTCGACCATGGACATTGAGCTCGCTCTCACCGTGGCGGCACAGATAGATGGAGCGCGGCGTGATGTGAATGTTCATGAGGTAGTAGACTATCCGGCTCTGGATGTGGTCCAACACCCTGTTGACCAAGTAGCGCTGACCCACGTCCATGATTTTAATGAAGGAGAGATCCCTGAGAGGAGACCACAGAAACGTTAAGCCTCCTGTTTAACACGGACGGAGACAAACCCGTGCACAGATTTGAGAACCACAGCATAATTAGTTGTGAAATGACCCGAGTATATTTGACAATGCTAATATGCTACTCCCATATTTTCCCACTGCTAGGACATCTTTACTAAACACACTCTCCACACCAGCTTTCCCCTTACCTATCCAGGACTTCATCCAGCGGCTCGTAGGAGTTTTCATAACACTTGATCCTTTTCATAAAATCTTCTGCCGCTTCCTCCGTGTTACAGTTGGTGTAGTCGGGGCTTCCCAGCTTCACTTGCTGAACAGAGAAACAGCAGAGAGGAGTGAGCACAACTTGGACGGCAGTTCATTTTCTCTCTTGAGATGAAATAAACAGATAAACCCATTGACTTACCACTATGTTCTCCTGTATGACATCTGGGTCTTCACACACAGACTCCACGAAGAACACCTGAGAAACGAGGAGAAGGAACTAATCAAGCTCAGTGTGAATGTCAACCATGGCTAGTTAGCTAGCTAGCTAGCTAGCATGTCTTTCTACCGAGCGTTAGGGAGTGATGCAGAAGGACCGCTGGCCACAAGTCCGCTGTTCAGTTGTTGTGTTTTTGTAACCAGTGTAGCATTAAAGCACGGCTTAATTGGCAAGCTAGTTAATAGCCACCTGTCCGCTAGTTAGCTTGCTAATCTCAAAGGTTGCAATGGCAAACATAAAAATGGCCACCACTCTGACCTGCTACGTTGATTGGAACGTGAGCGTCCGTTCTACTTCTACTGTATTTCTATGATGTGAACTAATGCAGTATGTCCTCCCACAACAGTTACCTTAAAGCCATTCTGGTCTGCAAACTGGATGATGGTTTCCCGTCTTTCTCTGGTGGTGTTTGTTGCATCAAAAACCTGTTTAACATAGACAGAACAATGGATACGCTTGTTAGCCTCGCACACCATGTTTGACCGACCTAAACCATCTAAACCAAAACTATATTACTATTTGACCCACCGCCACTTGGCCTCCGTCTTCTGTGAGATACTGTCGCACATCGTTCAATGCTGCTGAGGCACATTGTCTGTAAAGATCAAAGATAACATATGTTAAAAAGGTCACATGGCTGGTGGTTAAATACATTCCGAGGCCAGTTCACACTCTTACCGTCGGATCTTTAACCCTTCCTCATTGTCTGGACGGAAGAACTCAAAGGACTTGTAGATCTTCACACACTCTCTCCTGTACTGCCCAACATTGAACTCTATGGCAAAGATGGAGGCAAGGACACATGAGACAACTTTCTCTTAGCATGAAACTTGTAATGCACCTTCTAAAATCCATTCCCTTTATTCTCTAGAATCGATGCGTCTACAAAACTATTCACTCGAGCCCAAGAAGTGGTACCTCTGGTGGGCACTCCGATCCAGTTGAGATAGCGGGTCAGCTTCTTGGAGATGTAGGTCTTCCCCCTGGCAGGAAGGCCCACTGTCACAATCAGGGTGGGACAGTTGGTCATACATACTGCAACGAGAGAATGAGGAGGGGGAAGAAAGCTTAAGTCGTGCGCTCGTCACACATTATGCAAAGTGATTTTAGTGTAAAATCATCTTATCTCAAGGTTTTGTCCAACGATTATTCCCACAGCTTGGAATATGCCTCCACCGATTTTCAAAATCTGCCCTTATACTATCATTTATAAGAGTCAATATTAACTTAAATATTAGATTGTCCATTATCGATATGGGTGTGTAATCCTGTGTTATCTGCCATGAAGATAAAGTCGCATCACAGAGGTCACGGTGGCACCAGGCTTGTGTTTTCACACTCAGCTGCAGTGTGTGCACAGACGACTGGGTCAGAGAGCGAGATAGTTTTCATGGGGTGTTACTTCATGTTTTCTTGTAAGATGATGTCCATGTTTTAACATTCCCAGTCTGTAAAAGTACGGGGGGGAAAAGACTAAACTAACTATCAGAGGAGGGCACAACAGTCTGTCCTGGTGCATGCATTACACACCTACCCCCCTGACAGTCTGTCCTGGTGCATGCATTACTCACTACCTCCCTGATTGTTATTGACTTTACCAAAACCCACTTCACTTCACACAAACAGACCCGTTCACCCACCACAAGCTCCTGATTTCAATGCTATTGTAATTGTTTCCTCGGGTGAGGAGACACTGACCATACAGAGAAGTGACAGCAAATGCAACGGCACATCCACGCGGGGGTGCATATCCCTCACATCACTACAGGGATACAATTCGTGTGTTATCAACAGCTGGTGGTTGACTTAGCTGACAGCAACAATGACATTGACACCGCTAGTATCAGTCCTTTTCTCCTCGATGCGAGCAGCCTTCATCATGCGAGTCCTTACATAACTGAGTAAGCCAGATGGCTGCAGCAGCAGCGAGGCACATGAACTCTGCGAACTGTGGTCCACGCGTTTAAAACCGTAGAGACGTTAAGCTAACACGTAACGGATTTAGATATATGCTACATACTACATGCAGAGGGGACGGATTAGCATTAGCTTCTGGCCAAACCGCCACCGGTGAAATAGATAAAGATGCTAACAAGTGACGCCACGTCGTCATACGCACCCTTTCTTTGAGAAATGTGCTTTTCAGGAAGGCCATTTTTACACGGCATCCAGATCTTCTTGAGTGGGTTTTGAGTGAGTTCCCGCGGCTTTGGCGGTGTTTTGTCCTCCATTCCGTCCGGCAGTGAGGAGGTGGAGGAGGCCGAGGAGGCCGCGGCGGGTACACAGGGCCTTTTCCCCGAATGCTTCTCTGAATGTGACCGGTGTTTCATCTGCGGTGATGGAGATAATCCGCCGGCCGGTGTCTCTCTCTCGCTCTCAGAGCTGTTATCAGTGTCACGTGCTCCAGTCAGGCCACAATGGAAATCGACGGTTGGCCGTAATGACCATAATACGGGCGTAGCGCATTTCTGCTTTACCGTAAGTGACATTAGCAACGCTGAGTGCTCAGCGACAAAACACAAGATATTCAAAGCTGCTTTCGGGCACAAGTGTAACTGTGAAAAAACGACGTTTTAGACTTATTTGGGCAACAGGTGATGCTGAAGGAGTGATGCAATTCACAAAATATGTTTCAGATGTCACAGCAGGAAATCCCCATGTGTGTCGAATAACACTAATGATGTCTGCCTGCAGTGGAAAAGGTCTATTGTCTTAAGTTAGTTAGCCACTTAGCTAATCAAATATTATTTTAGCCGCTTGGGGCAGCAGGACTACCAAAACACAGTTAAAAAAAGTAAAATTGCATCATTGGTGTTTATTTGGAGGTCTGTTTCTGGTCATCCAAACATAGGTAAAAAACTCTACCTTGGTTCATGAATGAAATATCTGACTCCTCCTTGGCTGCTAAATGCTCCATATATTTGACAGGTAGTAGCTAACTTAGTCTGTCAGCTGTTTCTGTAACAAAGCCTACAGAGCTTTATCACTGAAAACAGCTGCCTGCTATGACTGGAAGTGGGATTGATGAGAGCAGTGAACCAAAACAGTTAAGCTGCCAGCCGCGAGGGATAACTGCTAGTACGAGCAACCTCTCTCACATCACAGTCATTTGCTCCATTGTCTGTCGCCATGATCCACCCACACGGGTGTTTACTCATCATGTTGCCTGATTTCACCTCTGCTCAACACTGTGTGGGCGCGTAAGGATTGTGCTTGATTCATATCTCCCTTACTCCCTCGCTGTACATGTTTAAGTGGGTCAAATTACACTGTAATTGTTCCTACCGGTTCAACTGGTTATTTCGTTATTTGGTGACCTCATGTCTAGCACAGCTTTGCCCAACTTCAACCTGAGCAGAGGTCTATTCAGCCAGAATGACTCAAAACACCTGGGGCCGTATTCATTAAGCTTCCTAGTAAAATAGTTATCATTAGTAATGAAATTCCTCCTTAGAGTTAAAATGAGATCCAACAAGTGAGGAACAAAAACAAGGAAAGATAAAAGTTATTCACAAAGCATCTCGGCCCTTATGAGATCTCCTAAAGGGAAGAACTGTTTGGAGAAGGGAGGACTTTTAAGAGGCTGTGGCTCAATGTAATAATGTAATCAATAATGTAATATATTGTAATATAATAAAATCTATATTTGATATAATATAAAAAATATTTGAAATAAAAAGTGAATTAAAAAATAAAGTTGAGCTGACAAAGCATTCCACTTGTGTTGGGTCTATACTGGACTCGTTTTTAAAGAATCTGCTATTTTATATATTTATTCATTTTTTCTATCAGCTTACAAGTTCCTCTACTTTTAACAACAAAAGGTTAAAAGGTGAAAAAATAAACTAAACATTACTCTTATATTCTGCCAGCTCATTGGTTCGGTTCACTAAAACTGCTTTGCTAAAGTTTGCAAAAGATTTAGGTCATGGTTAAAGAAAAATGGCAGGATCGATAAGCACTCACAGCTGTGCACCATGTATGAAACTCGAACCAGCAGTGGGAAACAGCAAGCCTTGCTCGCTACAAACGCCAAAAATATGCCGACCAGTACCTCTGAAGCAACAGCAGTGCTGCGTGTGTTGAGCCAGTATTTGTGACAAAATAAAAGCAAGGCACAGGACAACTGGCTGGATGTTTTATGGGCATAGAGTATGAACCCAACCACTACTTTGAGTATTCCGATTCAGATTCTTTTTGAAGAAGAATTCTCCTTTTTCAACATTTTCTGCTGATTAACATTTAACAGGCCTTTTTCACAGAAGACATTTTGACATGTCACAAGCCGTAAAAGCACAGGTGTAAAAATAATGAAATGAATGACGACTGTCCATTGAGCTGCTTCAGTTTCAGGTTCTATTGTGCATGCTGACTCACTGTCACACTGTCATAACTTACTGGCACATTTTAATACAATGGAGCTATTGTTAATGCTTTTCCTGCTTTGACAAGTCAAAATATCTTGTGTAACAAAAAGATCTATTGTGACAATAATGCCACTCTATTTCTTGATAGCCTACTGCAAGTTTCCACAGATCAGCCATCACTAAGTGACAAATGTTTTAAAGGTATTTGATCTATTATTATCGAGGGTGCATTCCATCAAGCACAAGCTGACAATGCCCACGAGATGGCAGCATTACTCTCCCTCTTCCTCTGTATGTGTGTTGACTAGACTTTTAAACTAGTGTATAAGACACACCTGTAATGCAATCCAACTCAACAGCACTGTGGCAAATTCCTATAGATGCAATGTTTATAATGTTCAGATTGTGTGAGTGTGTGGGGTGGGGAGGTACCTGAGGATCTCTATAAGGGTGTCTCTAATATTTTGTCCATCTCAGAGTGCCAGAGTCCGGTTACTCTGCTATCACAATTGCCATGGAGATAATTCCACACTTACACAGGGTCAACACAAACTGAACAGTTTAGGCTTTACAAAGACAGGACTTTGAGGTGTTGTACTGGACTGAATGTGCAGGTTCGCCTGATAGGGTGATAACTGTTCATCTGTTTATGTGTTCCTGGACCATCTGATGCACTGATTATATTAAGCTTTAGTCACTCTTTATAGAGCAACAGGGCCTGTGACCTAAATATGGCGGGATGGAGGTTTTTCTAATTAAATAGCTCCTACTCTCTCCCTCAAATTCCCTGACTGCAAGTAGACTATAAAACATATCAGGTGCATCAGGTCCGCACACACACTATCTCATGCTGGGGATATATCTTTAGCTCTTAAACACAATGCATTGCAGAATTAAAAAAAACATACAAACTGTGGCACATAGTCTCCTGTACATTGCATAAAACTTGGTCAGGCAACATGTCTTATTTTAAGTAGCTCGGGTAGCCCGTGTGAAAACAGCAGCAGTCATTCACATCCGCACTTGTGGTGAAAATGTCAACACACCTTTTTTCAAACGGTAGTGTCTTGCATAATTTACACTGGGCAATGACCAGGAAACAGCTCGGCGAGCTCCTGCCCGACACAGCAGCTGTCAGTGCTCGGATTGCTGCTAGCAGCGTTTAGCCCCTAAACTACACTGGACAAGTCATTTCCCAATATAGTATGTTAACGTTACACTCGACAGTAAACCAATACCCACCACGCATCAGAGGCCGCTTCAGCTCAAGAACCAACATAGAAGACAAAAACAATAATAATGTCATCGTAGCAGCAGCACGAGCTGTACAATCACAACAAAAACATAAACACAACGCACAAACCGCCAGAAAACGCAAACCATCAACCGTCAGCAGCATCTCCGTCATGATCAGTGTATGTATGGGAAATGACAATATGAATAAATGAAAAGAAACCCGAGGAGATCCGCTTCAGGCTGCACGAAGCATTGAGATTTTTTTGTTTGTTTGTTTTTTCGGCAGCAGTCCAACAACATCCGCCTGGCTCCTGACCCTGTGTCAAAGCACTGCTGCTGCTGCTGCTACGAACGAGGCTGGCTGCTAAAATAAACCCAACGATTGTCGCTTGTTGTTGTTATGTAGGGTAAAGGTCTCGACGGTGACAGCGCCAACACACCGACAGCACATCGGTGCTTCTCGACCACATCCCCCTCCCCCTCTGTCATCCAGTTTAAAGATGCACAATTAAAACTACTAACGCCTTCAAAGCGACGCGTCTTACCCGCTGTGTCCCGGTTCTGTGTGAGCTTGGTGCGGCTGGAGCAGCCCCTCATCATGGGCGTCTGTCTGATGGAGCGCAGCGCCTGGCGGTGTGTATACGTGCGTTAAAACGGCAGCCTGCTGAGCGCTTCTCTTCACTGATGCTCACCGTACAGTACAGTACGCACTTACAGGCGGACCTCGGGCCGGGAGGGAGGATTTCTCCAAAACTGGATGGAGTGAGGTAGCAGCCTACCTGCCCCCCCTCCACCCTCCTACACCCCACCCACCACTTGACTGCTGAGAAATGTCCCCACATGTCGCGACAGGGCTAACGTTGTTCCACTTATGGTTGAGTTGAGGATATGCATTGTTTATGTGGAGGAATAAAACAGGAAAAGTTAGACATTTCCCAGCAGCAGGCAAACTTGCAGAGCTTGTTTTTCTGCATTGCTAGTAAAAACATTCACCCTACTTCAATGGTGTCCATGTTTAATTATGTAACATCAGGCTTTTTGTCATGAATAAGCAGAACTCAAGAGAGTCCTTAATATCAAATTGTAAGGAAATCTCTATAATTGATCAAAGGTTTCTTAAAATTGGATTGCATTACTGTGCACCCTTTTATTTTGACATACCTAAACCACAACTGGTGCAGCCTCAGACATTGTTTATTGACTACCTGTGTGTACTTAGGATGTGACAGGGGAACATGAGGATAATTAAACACAACATATCTGTGCCAAGTTTACTAAGAGATAATGTGTCATTCACAGGAAGGTTAGTTAGAAGAAAATGAGAGGCATGCATTATTGATGGAGGACAACAAGAGACCTGTGGACACTGTGAATGAGCTGCAGGGTTTCATGGCTCAGGTGGGAGAGACTTCAATGTGTTCAATGTTTATCAATTTGTAAAGATTTGATGAAAAACTTAAAGGAGGAATGACGTGGGGTTGAACATATTTTTGAAATACGATCACCATTTTCAGATCATATTACCCAGCCGTCTCATCCTCTAAGTACAGTGCTATGAAGTCATGCAAATTTCGTAGCCGGGGGAAAGCACACTCTTGGGTTTATAATTCAGTGGCAGTCATTAGACCCTTACAAGCAGCCTGTGCTAGTAGTGCCACTTATTGTCAAGCACAAGGCCTTTGATTGCACATCTGTGGATGAATGAGACAATCACACAATCACACACACACACACACACACACACACACAATCAGGGAATTGTTGAGTTCTTCACACCATGGAGGCCATGAAACATAAAGAAAGGGAACGAATGGATCTCAGACAGTTTGAGACCACTTGGAGTGAGCATAACAGAAAAAGTCGAAGGTCAGATGACTGACCTTCGACTTTTTCTTCCTCCCCAAAAGGCAAAGTGATCTAACACTCATCTACATATACACTCACCCTGCATGCCACACCCCCAACCACACTCACATACTAGTCAGACTTGTCTCGCTGGGCTTCATCTCAGAGTTTAGGGGTTACACTTGTGCAGCTTTAAACGTCGTGTAGTCGCAAAAACAATTTCCCTTTTTTGGATGACTTTTTGGTAATTCTCCTAAATCTTCTGTAAATATAACAATCCAATAAAAATAACCTTACATGACCATGTAATAATCAATGATTACGCCTCAGTCTGCTCTACACGCCAGGCTATGTCATGTATATGTATATACAACTTTCATTGCACAGTTTTTGGAGAGATATGTCTTTTATCAGGAGGTACTGTGTCTGACTGTAGCCTATATTAAAATAACAATACACTTGAAAATGATTAATCAATCGAATCCCCTAAATAACAATAAATAAATGTAACTAAAGTATTTAAGACCTAGCTCTGTGTCTGTCCTGTGAATATTGCTGAAAAAACTTGTTGTAGTCAGGTGTCCCCGTGAGCCAATGTCAAGGAGGCTGGAGGGGGAGGATCAGTGACTTGTTGTGTGAAGTAACTCAAATAGCATGTGCATGAGACACTATTATGTCAACACCATAGTGGTGTTACAGATACCTGGTGTAATCATGACTGTGCATGTCTCTGTGAGGAGGTTGACTAACAAAGGAAAAGTACCTACGACTGCCACCTCATGAAGAAGTATGTCATTTGCAAAACTCTGTAAAATTCCACCAACAAATACACTTTTGTTCTATTCTGAGAACTTTTATACTCAAAGTCATAGAGCACCGGACAACAGCTGAGAGGTCGTGCTCTATTTGGGCGCATCTAATAATGGCTGACATCCTGTATTTACTGCGGGGAAGCCAAGTCGTTTGTATGATAAGCTTCCCTTAACCCATCACCTAAATACTTGCATGTGATCAAAGTGGGGGAAAGGTACTCAACATACAATCTAAACATAATATTGTTGACCTTTCCAAGTCGAACTCCAGATAGCTGCGTCCCAAATAACTATTCCACTGCTGCTATATATAGCGGCCTCACAAAGCCTGAAAGGCATGAATACAAAAGCAGTAGTTCCAAGATCCTCGGAAAAAAAACACATGAAGCTTTGCTTTGTAAAGTTTTATTGACAACCGTATCAACAAATCCAATTTCTACACGGAGTGGATGTACTTGATAGATGAGGTTTCCATTATCGAAAGGCTGCACTGCTGATGTTTTAACGTGAAGTGATCCTGCAGCCCCTATTTACTGGAAGCAGTGAAGTCAACCCCCATAAACACACGCGCAAGACCTTCCTCAAAAAAAGTGTCACAACTCATCCATGTAGCACAACCAACCATTACGCCACTAAAACAAGAAGCTCTCTTTCCTCACACTCACAGGTTGTGTGCTGCCTCTCGTAGCTCCATCAAGAAGACACAATGTTTATCTGCAGCAGCGACACAGAGTGAAATTCACTGCAGGGTAATAAGTGTGGGGCCATTTTTATTGTCGTGTCAATGAAAAATACTCACTCGGGTTGAAGGCAGTGGATGTTATTAACAAGACAGTCAGTGCCATGCGTTGCTTTGACGGACAGCGTTAAAACCACGCAGGTAATAGTGAGCGCACTAGTTTCAGTCTGTCCACAGTTTGCTTTGTCTCTCTTTGTGTGTGATTTGCACACCAGTGCATAGTTACAAAAGGAGACCTCAAATAGGCAACCCAGCATTCAAATACACAAAACACGAACACTAGAAATACTTCCATGTCTGCACACAGACACTCTTACAAACTGGCATGGTCTAAAAATGACGTACATACATAAAAATGATTAAAAACAGATAAAACCACAGTGAACAGAGCTGTTGATGTCTGCCACTGACAGGAGAAACAGGTGATATCATGTCTTGATACGTCTTATAAATGTCCAGCTCTCACTGTGATGTTGTTCCTATGTTGCCCCTTTATTTCCTCGACATCCAGTCTCTCAAGAGTCTCGGGCAAATCTCTAAATTATCTTCTCCTGCACAAATCAGCTTTTACTCCCTCTTGTGAACCGCTTGTCATCACAATCAGCTGTCCCGCCTGGGTTTCCACCAACAGTCCTCCGCGTCTCACTGACTTTGGCAGACCGTGGAGCCACCCTTGGCCCCTGCAGCGGCCTTCTTGCGTCTCTTGTTGAGCAGCGGGTTGCTGGAGGTGTCGAGATCTTTGATCTTAACCTGGTCATAGTCCACACGCATGGTCGCTAAAGCGCTGGTCATCTCTTCCTGTGAGAGACAGGGCACAGCGTGTTAGTTCAGTGAAGAGTGCAGCGATGATACGATACAGGGCAATAATATAATGTTGCAAGTAAACTTTTGTTGAACCCTATTCTCAACCTAGAAATTATTTAAACCGGGGCTTTAGGAGTTTTTAAAATATTGACTTTGCATCTTTTACCCCCTTTACATCAATAGATTTTAGCTAATCAGTGCAGACATGCAATAGTTTAACATTTTTGGAAATATTTTTGGAAATATGCTTATTCCCATTCTTGCAGAGTTAGATGAGAAGGTTGGTACCACTCTTACATTTGTACAGTAAACATGTAGCTGGTGCCAGCAGCTGGTTAGCTTAGCTTAGCATTAAGACTGGAACCGGAGGGAAAGAGCTAGCATAGCTCTGTTCAAAGGTAATAAGATCAACCTACCAGCACCAAATGGTCAGGTTGCCGTTTTATGGGTCTATGGTCCTGGCATAGACATTGTCCGGCACATAACCCCTCGTAAAAAAACACAACTTTGCATTTTTACACACCAGCTTTAGGGGTGCTGGTAGGTGTTTTTTATTACCCTTGGACAACAGTTTCCGGTCTTTATGTAACACTAAGATAGCCGACTGCTGGCTTTAACCTTGACATACAGACATGAGAGTCTCGAAAAGCCAATAAGCTTGCTTCCCAAAATGTCAAAGTCCTCCTATTTCACTAACGGATTGGAAGTGCAGGTAAAAATAACCAAAAGTGGACAATGTAGAGAGAAACTGAACACTTTTATGAGTTTGGGAAAGATCAAACCATCACTGTCCGGGGACAAGAGAAGACTGGTCTGCAAACTGGAGCTGAGAGCTCCAGCGCTGGAAACGTGAACCCTCAAACACTTCATCCTTTATGGTTCATGATTTGAAGCCACTTGTCAGTCGTGTCAGTCTACTTATGTAGAACGTTTTTGTGCTTTTTGAGAAGTGGTCGCTCAGGAGTGCAATCCGTGAAATGTTTTGCACAACGTAGAATGAACAGAGGCGTATTGTGTCCCTATCTTTTTGAGGAAATGTTCTTTTCATAGCATATCGCTTCAAACCTTCTCATTCGCCTGTTGCCATTCTCTCCATGATGTTCACTCACATTTACAGCCACTGCAGAAATATGCCATTGCACAACTGTGCAGTACATTACATACAGTACATTACATACAGTACTGTGCATTAAGCCCACGGTGACTTGATAAGAGCAAACAGCGTTCTTGTTCTGTAAACACATTGCTTTGCGTAAATCTAGAAACAGAATTGGAAAAAAAAAACCACCACAGGGCAGCTAAGATCCTTTGTGTTTAAATGTGTGTGTTAAACAAAAACTGTATGTGTGTGTGTTAAATGTTAGTTACGATGAACTAACTCATGGTACAAACAAGACTGTGACCACTGCCTCCCCCTATTGGCTATCGGGGGACCATCAAGATGTCGATACATAAAAAAAAGTCCAAGGTTTGAAGCATTTTAATTTGTTTCATTGACTGAAGGGTGTAAAAGAATTAAATAAAATTAGCAATTTTCCTTTGCTGGCTTTCATGTGGTAATCATTATAATCACTGGAGGGGCAATCCCACTTTTTTACACACGAAAATCAGTTTCCCAGTCATATAGAGTACTACTTAGCCTGTGAAAACGGTTGTATACTGTATGGCTTCTGTGGTTCTGGACGAGTTTTGTAAAAGCTGAGAAAATGACCCCGATGATGTCATAGTGATGTCATCAGGGGGTATCTCAGTTTGGGCTTGGAGACTCCAAATTTTAACAAAGAGTATCACAAACTGAGGGAGAGGAGTTTGAAGCATATGGGTATTTACCAGGCATGCATATAAGATGCTCTTGAATTGCATTCTGGGAAACGTAGGATCTAGCACTTTCAGAGCTTGCCCCTTACTAGAGACTAAAAGTCAGGATACCTCGGCCTCTGCCCCATTGATTTTGACTATTCTTTTTTTAATCTGTCTCTCACTACTCCCTACATTTACAGATGTGTAATACTGAAATGCTGGAGTGGCCCTGTAACACTGGGGACAAGCTAAAGCTTTGAGTTTAGAGGTTGTAATGTGAATATGTGACCAGAGGGGGTCAGTGTTGTTGTGCTTCTGACCTTCACATCTTCCCACAGCTCTCTGTCCTCAGTCAGCACCCGGGTGGTGTGGAGCGGAGTGGAGGGAACCACCATAGACTTCTGCAGAGGGCATAAAAACGCAGGTGTAGATACGAGCAAACAGATGCGCAGACAAACATGAAGCAGTACAGGAAGTATACAATGTCTATCTGTACTTGACCCACAGATTCTTACATTAATCCAGGGGAGGTTCATGAATTGAGTGATGGTCATTCTCTCATTAGGGTCCGTCTTCAGTAGCTCATGGATCAAATTTTTGGCTGGAAGAGCAAAGGCAATGCAAAGATAATTACATTATCAGCAGCAGAACACATACATGCCTAATTGTGTGTCTTGTGGAGCTTTTCAAGGACTCAGGGACAGACTGGCCTACGTTCACAGCGAATGGCATTACTTGAGAGAAAAGAGTGAGACTGAGTGAAAAAATAGAAAAATGACAGCGTGTGCAAAGCATCATGCACTGTCATCGCAGTTGGTTAGGAGGACAACACCAGCTGCATGACGTGTCTTGAGTTATCTGTCTCTGACGTCTCATAGAGCGTTTGTTGTATTTCTTTAGAAGTAAAACTGAAGGAAAAGCAGCAGGAAATAAAGCCAGTGAGTGCTGGAGATGAGCCATTGTGACCTGCAGGGCAGCAGACAGAGACACCATAGTTTACCTTAACCATAGTTGGAAAATATTGTGTCTTTAAAGAGACTGCACTTAGGTAAGGACACGAGAAGCTAAAAGGTGTAGACGTAAACTGAAGCTGTCTAAAAGCAAAGTGCAGTACTTCATCCACATGATGTGATATTTTCATAAATGTGTGGTTGAAGATATAAGTTAAACATTCCATTGATAGCAGGTTGTATTCTGGAAAATGTTTTTGAAAAACTACATTTTCAGGGCTAGAAATGGAGAGAAAAACAAATGTTTAATTGTGAGTGTGGACAGGGCCTGTGTGTGTGTTTTTTGGAGAGGGGGCTTCACACCTTCCTGTGACACCTCAGCCCACTCTGGGTTGGGGAATTCATACTGCCCCATCCGGATCCTCTTCTTCATCCCCGGAGAAATGGCCTGGCCGGTGTTGGAGTAAAACGGAGGGAAGCCACACAGCCTACAGAGACAAACGGGTTGAGACAGACTACCTTTAAAATCTTGAACGCTTTGTTTAAAGGCATCCAGGCCCCCGACCCAACCCCACATCCATTACTCACAGGATGTACATGATGACGCCCAGAGACCACATGTCACATGACTTGTCATATTTCTCCGGACCCAAAACCTCAGGAGCTTATCATTGACAAAACATGAACACAAAGAAATAGATTAAAAAATATATAATGGCGATCAGTGGCAAAAAATATTGTATGTTGTATTTCTTATCAAAAAATAAATAAATAATAGAAATACCATATACAGAATACATGACAATGTTTCCAAGCCTTCCCTCAAACAGTTCACATGTCAGGAAAAAAAGAAAATCTTTTAAAAACAAGATAAAGCAACATACCCACGTAGTACGGTGTATAACAGGGGGTCTGCAGAGGGTTGTGTAGCGTCGTCTCCTTAGCAAAGCCAAAGTCTGTTAATTTGAGGACCCCATTTCTTTCTTTAAGGGTGTACAGCAGGTTCTCTGGCTGGTTAGGAGGCAGAGGAAGAACAAAACAATATCACAAAATGTTCTTTAATGACCCAGAACGGATCACGTTCTTCATGATTTCGGTGGTGGTCTTGACTCTTGATCGCTCTGCACCTTGATGTCTCTGTGCGCGATGTTAATGTGGTGGAGATACTCAATGGCCGTGCCGATGTCCTTCATGATCTCAGAAGCCTCTGGGAGGAAAAGAGGAGAACATACTCTCAAACCAGAAGCAATTCTAGTATCACACAACAAAAGATACCAATAAAACAGGGATCAGAAAGGAACATATATATAACTCTCTGTCAAATGTTATCCAAGATGGCTGCCTTATATCGTTCTTCTCTGTTAATAACGGTTTATTCTCTCTCACATCAGTCCATCAGTCCTCACCTTTCTCAGTGAAGGCCTGGTCTCCTCTGGCCTGGATTCGGCTGAACAGCTCTCCTCCCTCCATACTGGAGACACACGTACACACACATTTACAAAATGTACAAATGACGATCCAGGGCATAATGTCGTCTCTGTATCACAGATATCAACCTTGAATAAAGTAATAATCTTCTTTTCTCATTTTGATATTTTCGCCTTCTGTAGAAAAAAAATGTAGGAAGAACATTTTTCAAATTGTTAAATGCTCTCCATATTTGAATTTAAGTCTTTCATTGAGGGCAAATCACTGTCAATATCCATGAGCACAAATTAGATCATTTGTGTGTGTGTGTAGAGGTCCTGCATGTGCAACTCAAACAGCCGCACATTGTACTTTTTACTACATCTCAGAGGAAAATATTAATTTCTCTGACAGCTTGTTAACTTTTCAGACTGTAGAGGCTGATGAAATACAAAGTATGTACATAGCATTTTAAAATACAATTATTCAATGGGTTAGGAACCCCTGTTTGTATATTAACTGTTTGCTAAGTGAGTTCCCAAACTTAAATCACTGAATTAGTTGATGAAAAATGATTGATCCTTCACTGCACTAAAAGTACTAGTACCATACTGATGAAACAATCCACTACGAGTAAAAGTCCTGCATTCAAAACCTTAGTCAAGTATGTTATTATCAGCAAAATGTACTTAAAGTACCGAAAGTAAAAGTACCCGTGCATTAAAATGTTCCCTGTCAGTGTTTTACAATGATATCCGATGTACCTCCTTTATATACTGTTGGTTAGTTTAATCTACAGCAATGCATCGTATTCTATAAGATCATTGTATGTTTGTAGTGTCAGTAAAGCACATTATTTACGTCTGAGATGGAGAGGAGTGGTGTTGAGAGGCGGATTGAAAGCCACCTTTATACCGCCACCTAGCGTCTGTGTCAGGAGTGATATACGGCCAATCCAAAGACGAGGATTGTAACCAATTCAATTTAGTGATACAATGGGGACGGGGTCTGCCCACTTACTGTCAAAAAGAAAAAAACACGCGCGCGGATCTCATTTGTGCTCGTGGATATTGACTGTGATTTGCCCTCATACATTTCTACTTACATCATGTAGTGCAAGACACTGGGAACCGGTAATGCATCTGCACTAAGCACCACAGTCACAGTGTAACAGGTGAACTTCACAGGTGCAAAGTACACTGAAGGTGATTTTGAAACGATCAGCTGACATAACTACAGCAGTGACATTTTATTGGCCATACACAATTCCAAGTAACTATCGTGAAATCGTCCCCACAGTTAGTTTGAGAAAACACGATATCTTACGTATACACAGTTTTACACTGTGAGCCAGTGGGTTGGTTTTCAGTGGAAATCTGTTGAACACTTTCACCGAAAGCTTTCAGTTTCAGAAATGATGCGTGAAAGTGAAAGTAGAAAAAAACAGAGTGCAAAACCGAACCGAAATACGGAAGAAAGGAAAAGTACCAAAATATTCTTATCTACGGGATTTTGTAAAATTATGTTTTTCATCATTTTAACAGTAATATGGCTGCTTTGTCTCCTCTGTAGTCTCATTCATAGCTGTTTTATAACAAAATAATTTGTTTAGCAATAATAAACTGTATAACAATACAATAACTGAGGAATGGTGAGACCTATGACCTAACCCTTTTAAAGTTCAGACAGTTTCAGAATCACGACCACTCATCAAACGGCTCTCACTGATGCCGGAGACTCTCCGCTCCGGTCCTCAGACAAATGTTATCTATGGTTGGGACTTACAGGCCTGAAAAGACAATACTACGTCACCATGGAGTCATGGTACAAGTTCTAATTTGATAACAATACAACAGAAAATGTATATTTTACACGTGGTTTACTAAGAGTGCGGCAGCGTAAAAACGCATTGGAGGCCGCGTAAAAACGCATTTGGAGACCGCGTAAAAACGCATTTGGAGACCGCATATACTACTACGATAAACCATGTGTCGGAAATTCGAACTATAGTTTATTTATGTCGATGTATGGTTAGCTATATCATATTTAACCATTATCAACTTTCACAGATTCTTGAAAATTCTCATGAACCAGACTTTGGTCTTGATAATCTGTCCCAGTTACCTCAGTCACGGATTCAATTGCAGTTTTGAAAACTTTCCCAGAGGGCCATCTGATAAATCTGCATATCCCTGGCTTCGTAATTTCATTGGCTATGTGGAGCCTGAGTTTGAACAGGATCTGTTGCGATTGGCTCGAGCTATACCCAAAGAAGAGAGGCAGGCATTGTCTTTCAAAGCGGACTCTCGTTGGCTGTTCCAGACTGTGGCCGGGCTATAGAAGCTCCTATTGGGTCAAATAAGGTGTCAATCTAACCGGCGGAATGCAGGCTCCATTTTGTGGTGAAAATCTCCGCTCTGTTTACATGAAAAGTGAAATTATGCCCGAAATATGATCGCGAGTTATCATATCTGCTGGCTAATTTGAAATGATGCAACAGCCCCCCGTGGGTCTTTATGGACGTACTAATGTGTTTTGGACTAAATCTTTTACTGGATTCGATCGAGTGGACCCTTAGCCACCTAGCAAGACCGTTTTTGCTGGACTAGCATGCACGAGGGGCACGTTATGGATCATAATCGGTGAGTCACGGCGATATTTTATCGGCTATTTTTGGAGTGCTTGTTTGACAGAGACGTTAACTGTACCTGCTGTTGTTGTTGAATCTTGAAATGGTTTGCATAAATCTAATTACAAGAACCGTAGCTTTCTAATGAGATATCACATTATACTCATCGTTACAGGGCAGTTGTGTGCATAACACAAATATGCAGTTATCACTCTGACGGCCCGCGGGTCAGAGTGGGATGAGGTTTTAAGTAAGAGCGTACTTATTGTGGTTCCTAACACACACAGATGAACAGATGGACCAGGGGTCACCAACCTTTTTTAAACTGAGAGCTACTTCAAGGGTCCGAGTAGTACGAAGGGCTACTTGTTTGATACAAACTTCCTGAATAACAAAGTTGCACAGATCACCTTTTAATAATAATAATAATATGTGTGAAGAGACTGTCTGATCACATGTCAATGTTAATTATTCCTCACAATAATTATTAACAATGATTTCCACGACATGATGGTAGGAAACACAGATATATTTAAACATGTATTTCTCTTGTTCTGTTTCAACATTTGAAAGTCAGAGGTATCACATCTCTGATATTTTTGTAAATATCTTTCTTGACAGTTTTGTATGAATAAGCACATTTGTAGCATTTGGTTCAAAATCACACCTGTTGTATTTTTGTAAAAAATTATCACTTCTAACATTTTTTATGAAAATCATCAACTGTCAAATCTTCAAATCATGTCTCGTTTGTACTAACCACCACTTTTGTAACATTTTTGAACAAATCATGATCAACAAATCAACTCTGTCCCATGTTTATACAAATCATCAGTTATGAACATCCTGTGTTGTTTGGCTTTGGAGCGGATGCCATTTATGATCTTCACGACAGGAGTCATCACGTGATCAAAGCCGGTTACTTTTTGCACATAGCGCCTGCTGGTGAAGGATCCAGTGGTAATGTAGACATTTTGGGAAGTCTGGGTCACCTTTGCATTGCGCAATGAAGCCTGCATGCCGGCCCGTCATCGCGGGAGCCCCGTTTGTTGTCACCGACACCAGCTTGTCTGATGGTACCTTTGTCTCCACGAAGAAACTAGTAAACAGTCTGGTCTATAGCCGAGGGGGGATCCAACCCTCCGAGGCGCGCGAGAATCTTCGGGCGCCCGCGTTCAAACCTCTAGTCTGGGCCTTTTCGGTCGGATTGCGTTGCCTCGCCTCTACCCCCGCCACCCCTGAGTTGTTGCCCCGCGGACTGTTCCGAGGATTTACGGATCTGACGACGGGGTGCGCTCGCGGCGCGCGTCCGGCGCCAACGGGAAGCGCCCGCCATTCAGAACCTGAAAACCCAGTGCGGCGCGGCAGCCTCTTCCTGGCTGTCCGCCGTGCGCCTCTGGGTCCCAACTCTCTTATGACGAAATATTGTCATTTTAAAATCAACATTCATGTAAGCGTTTTTGATTAAAAATGAACAGCAACTAAAATGTTTAAACGGAGCTCGTGATTAATACTATTTTTAGAACATGCCTTGCGGGCGATAGATGAAAGAGAAGTCTATATGTGAATTGACTGTACCGCCGTCCTCCTCTGACCCTTGCTCACACAGGAAGCAGTGAGTGAATACTGAGAGCACACACACACACACACACACACACACACACATACATACAGTACAATGCAAAGAGAAGTTAATCACTATCTAAAATCCCCTTGAAGTTACAGAGGACGGTGTCATTTCTCTGCTGTCAGCCTCTGTGGTTTCTTTCTGTTCCACTGAATTATTCTGCTTTTTTTCCATTCACAAGTGAGCGGCAATAAAAGGAACAAAGTTCAGCTAAATGTATACACGTCAAAGCTCGCTCGCGCTCTCTCTCTCTCCGTCTCTCTCTCTCTCTCTCTCTCTCTATATATATCTCACCATCAGTGCAGGCGTCTTCAGGCCTTATGACGGACCTCTAACATGCTCCCAGTGGCACAAAGCTTCTGCTTAAGGCTCGAATTTGCGTGAAAACATAAGAACATATTATATACTGTATATTGGAAAAATTACTTTCTGACAGAACTTTCCAGAGAGTGGCTTTAGTTGAGTCCTGTAATACGCAGATTATTTTCTTGAGACAAAACAAACCTGCTGTGAAAACTGAAGCAACAGTTTCAGTCTGATGTGTATATAAAGATGTGATTCGACGATCACACAAAGTGTGTTGATTTGTACCAGCGGCCTCTTGTTCAAATAAATATGTCGGGTCACACGTCTGTAGTCGCTACGGAGCTTGTGTTCTTTATTCATCGCAAAGCAAATGCAAATATTCCAGTGGAAACCTGTGGAATCTGAGCAGAGTCATTGTAACTTCCCATTGTCTGGGCAACGTTTGTTTGAAAGAGGTTTGTTGAATAACTCCCCATCATCCTCCTTTTTAAGATCTGTGCTCCGCAGGGCAGATCAGAGAGAGCAGAGCTGTGATTTAGGAGGCACTGTAGTCACTGTAAGGCTTAAGTTTGAGCCTGATAATAAAATAGCTCACTAACTCATCACTGCCCAATTTAAATCATTTGTCTAATCAATTCTTTTATGACACAGGAGAATTGAATCATTATTTATATCACCAAATATGGAGACATAAGGGAATAGATCGTTGTCAGGCGCGTGAGTGTGAGAGCGTGTAAGCTGATGGGTAGAGTGGTGAAATGTGAGTCCTACCACTCCATGATGATGAGCAGGCACTTCTTTCCCTGATGCATGTTTTCATACAGGCTGATGATGCGAACAATATACGGTCCTCCTGATACTCGCCAGTGGAGCTCCACCTCTCGTCTGGCTTTGGGGCTGTCGTAGAGAATCTGGGAGACACAGAGATGTGATATGATGAATATGCATTTAATTACAGGAATATATTCATTTATATTGCTAGATTCAACGCTGGTTCAATATTGTCGTTGATCGACTTGCAGTGGAATCCCATCACGTTTATGTAATCGTCAAAATTCACGTTTCAGAGCAAACTCTAATTAAACAACTCACAAAATTCACGTTTTTGCTTTACATTTATGAAGCTTTTGGTCTCATGTAAATTTAACAGAAAATCAATCTGCAACAACTTTGATTGATCAATTAATTGTTTGAGTCATTTCATTTTCTTTCCTCGTTCCCGCTTCTCGAGTGTGAGGATTTGCTGCGTCTCTCTGTTCTATGACTGTAAATTCAATATCTTTGGCTTTGGGACTGTTGGTTGGACAAAGCAAGCAGTTTGAAGGTGTCACTTTTGGCTTTAGGAAACTGTAATGAATATTTTATTGTACAAACAATTCATGGGTCAATCAAGAAAATAACAGGTGGTTCAATCGATGATGAAAATGATTGATAATTGCAGCGCGCTAATGTTAATATCAGAAAGAATCATTGTTAATGTTGTAATGATAATGTCAACACTATCACCGAGACCTAAAACAGCATGTCAAATATTATAATCATTTGGTCAAAACAATTATATTTCATTTATTCATACTTTTTTGTGACCTATACCATCAATGTAGTCGTACGTGGTTCAATATTAATTACTTTTTTTGTTTTAGTTGGTGAAAAGTGAGCCTCAATAGTGTAGACCCAGTAACATTAATGCAACTGACTGTCTCCACTGACCCACTAAGTGTAGGACAAACACAATCCGTAAGGCAGCCTGGTCAGGATGTGCGTTTGACATAAGCACGCACACATGCACACATGCACACACGCACACATGCACCAGCAGGTGGACCTTGACATAGCACACATCTTCAGTCAGGGTGTATTTTTGGATGTGACAGGAATGGAGTGATCTCCTGCTGTTCACAAGGCTTGAGCCTGGAGTACATGACACACAGAGAGGCTGACTCACTGACGTACAAAACACACGCACACATGCACACACACACAAAACCGTGTTCTCTAACAGGTGACTTTAAACTTCTCAAAATGTGAAAAGAACATTGTGTTTGAGCTCGCTAACGTCAAAGAGGAAGTGAGGGCCGTGTGCTTCGGAGCAGCAGCGTGTTGAAAGTAGAAGTTGAGGGTTTCCGGTGACATATTCGTCTGATCTACAGCTACGCGTGTCCTATATTGTAAAGCAGGTTTGTGTCTGCTGTATCATTTGAAGCTTTACGACTTTAATCAGAGCAGATAGCATGTGAGCTGCTTTCCTTAATTTCCTGCATTGAACCAGAGTTGGCTCCAATAAAAGAGGACTGTATTGGATTAAATACATAAATAAAACATGGGGGGGAGGACAACGAGACGATTAAGAGAATGAGACAGACAGTTAATCTTCTGATGGACTCTTTTCTCATGTGAGGCCGTATCATGACGACTAAACACACGCTTGTCCCTGATCGTGCTATAAACCAATCAACCACATCCTCACACAATCAGATCTCTGTGCATAGACCACACTGAGACACACACACCATGACCTGATAATGCCCACTGAGTTTAACAGCCCCCCCCCCCCCCCCCCACACACACACACACACACTTATATGGCTCCAGCATGTTTACACTCTCTCACATATTAGTGGCTTAGAGAGTCCTGATCTCTCTGTCTTGATAAAAAGGTGATTTATCTTTACAACTTCTACCAATAAATCGCTGCTCATGAAGTCTACAACAGAGTGGTATACAGTTCATCAATGAGTGTTAACATTCGATCAAATGTTAACATGTTAGCATGCTAACTTTTGCTAATTAGCTCTAAACTGCAAAATGCAAATGAGGCTCAAGGGAAAGGGAATTATAATTCCAGGTATTTAATCCTAAACCAGAGTATTGGAAGAAAACTAAATGGACCCGATGAGAAGTGAAGGGATCACTAAAGTTATTACAATTCATCCAAAGGGCAACATGAACGTCAACCTCATGATGGCACGAGAGGAAAAGTCAGGGGATCAAAATATATCTTCAACCAGAACGGATCTTTCGTTGCATTCATTCACGACAACCTCATGGATCTTCAGTCCTGCAGCATGTTTCCTCCATGCTACCGTCAAAGCGGGTAATAAGCTTGAATTGCGCACATCGAGCAGTGGCCTGGAGCGAACCTGCGTAAGATCTGATTGTGGTTTTGATACACCAGATCTCTTCCATGAAGAGCTTATCAAACTATTGAGAATTTCTATGACAGTTTGGTGTCAGAGGAAACCCAGATGTGTCACAATCATGCCAAAGGCCTGACCACAGTGGTGAACACAAACAAACACATGAACTGTGAATTGGATTGCCGGTACACAAACTTGCGGCTTGTACAGCTTTCCGCACGCTAAGCTGGAAGGCACTGCAGGCGCTAAGATGGAATGATCAGCGGCCAAATACGTGCCCCCAAAGGTATTAACAGTTAATGGGGGTGCTCAAGAGGACTGCCGCGCAGCACGGGGCTCTCCCAGGTCCTCCCTCCTCCAGGGAGTCAGACAAATCCAAGTTAAAAGAATCCTGATGACTTTAACTCAATGACATTAACAGGATGGCTCCCCTCCAGCTCTGCTGCAAAGTAGATTACATCGTTACCACCCATCCACTACGTTTAGCGCTGAGATCAACACTTAATTAAAAAGCTAGTGAGCTGGTCAACTCTCCTCAGTCACAAACACTCTCGGTTATTTCCTTTTGCTCTCTTTTTGCCTTGAGATTAAAAAAATACAGAGAAGTGGTGAATTAGCTTGAATGGTAATGAAGTGAAATAAAAACTCTATCAGGTACTTAGTCCAGTACAATCCACGAGCAAACAAACACACACAGACGCCAGTAAGGGCTATTATAGAGAAGGCGTATTGTGATTTTACGAGTGTTTCATTTGTCATCTCTCAAAGCCTTTTAAGGGATCAAAGTTGTTTCAGACGCTGAGAGTGGTGGGTTTGTGGAGCTACCACAAAGCTGGGGTCACCCTGGCCGGCTATAGCTTTCTCTGGTGGAATCTGAGGTCTGTCGAGCACCAGGCGATGCTTCTATGGATGCAGTCAGCAGTTACATGACTACACAGCAAACCGTTTTCACAGATTAACACACCTTCGCTATATAGCCAGCAAGAAGTTTCTACTATGACTTTTTATATATATATATATATATATATATATATATATCTTTCTCTCCGCTGTCATTTCTAAACCGTGTTCTTCTCCCTCTCTGACATGACACTATGGGGCATCCTATCCCTCTTGCTCTTTTTCATCTCTTGATGTTGAGTCCCTATTGTCTGCTGCAGTTCACTCTCTTTCTCATCCTCTGTTTCTCTATCTGTCCCAGAGTCTGGTTCTACAGCTCCGCTCTGCTTGTGCCACTGCTGCCCGTTTTTGGCAGCTCAGATCCAGATGGATTACTGTAAGCCAGTAAATCTCTCAGAGTCTGTACCAAAGTGGTGACAGCCTGACGACCCGAGCTTGTGTGCCTCTAAAGGGGGCATGCTCAAGTTTCCATTGCCCCCAGAACAAGGTGCCACTGTCAAAATCTACGTGCCCCCATGAAGCAACATATCATGGCACATGGCTGGGTGACCACGCGGCCTTTAACTTGCATCTGATATACAGTGATCGGCTGAGATTCACGCTCAACCTGTCCATATGTAGAGCATGTGAGCTCAGTGGGCAACATGCTCGGTACATTTCAAATCCAAATCTGAAAGCAGAGCCCAGACATGCTTGTACACCAGTCATAGTCTTGATATGAGCGTAGGGCTCTGGACAAAGTGACACAAAGAGGAGTTTTGTTTGTCACTTGTGGGAGAAAAAATGTGTTTGTGTAAAATCATATCCATAATTTCAAATGTAGTCATGTATATTCACATCACTGAGGCCGGGTATTTGTGCTCTTTTGGCCGCCTCAACTTTGTAACAGTTTAACAGCTTCAGTGTTTGTCCTGTATGTCTGTGACAGAAATGTGACTTCAATAAAGGGCCAATGTTTTTGCATCTGAGCTACAGACTCACTAGTAAACTCACTTTTATATAATTTACAAACGTTTCTATTTGAAAGCTAAATGCTCAGACTATCCCTCTGCTCTATTACATGCTGCACTATTCCAAAAATGATTGACAGCTCAAAAACAACTTAAAACAAAGTGAAACCATTTCTCAAGCGGGATCATTTGGCACACACAAGTCTTCCATAATGCTGTAAGTGACCTACACTACACTGAATCTAACTTTGTGCTGACTGGGCAAGTTGAAGTTTACTTATGGGGAGTGTAAACAGAGCTGAAGGGGTCTATTGTCTACTTCCCTGTTGATAACACAAACGTGTGTCAGGTGACTTCAGTACCTTCAGTGCGCACCTCTCTCCAGTCTTCTTGTTGAAGCACTGAAGAACTTTTCCGTTGATCCCTAAACCCAGAACCTGACTGGAGATCTTATACTCGTCCGTCACCGCGTTGCGCTTTATCTCCACTTTGGGATAATCGGGCAAGGCGAAGTGTGTGGACTCGCCGCCCGGGTCCTCTCTGTCAGTTGCGGGGGGAGCGGTCTGCTGCAGCTTCGGTTCGTCGACCGGGGAGTCCGGCTCTGCCTCAGCCTTTGGCGCTTGCAGCGGCTTCTCATTTCCGTTTCCATTTTGCAGCATATTTGACACCGGCTTCTTGTCACCAGCGGTACTCCGGAGTAGAAAAAGCGCGAGTAATTCACCAAAGTGACGCGATGACGCCCGCTGCCCTCCGGTAATTGCGCAAAGGTGAGAGGAATCCTTGAGCACCGCTGGCGCGTCTGGTTGTCCTGGGCACCGCAGCCACTGTATGGACTGGGCACTGGACTCCACACACTAATTCCTCTGTGTCTAAAATAAATAGTTTATAAAACAAATTACATTCGCTTAAACTGCCCAATAGCTAGTTTTCTCTCTGAACTTTAATACCCGCAAATTTTCAAAAATAACTATTCTTTCAACCGGTCAAAGCTGATCTCTTCAGAGAAATCCGAATATTTTTTAGATTTTCTGAATGTCACAAAAATTTAATTCCAGTAAGAGAAGTCTTTAACAGACAGAAGTGTGACGATATTCTGCTGATCTCAGCTTCCCGGTGATCTGGAGTCCTTTGGTAGTGGTCACATGGCCAGTCACTGTCACCGTTTGTTTAAGCACCACCCTCCTACAGTTAAGTCATATTTCCCATCTATGAGGAAGCCTTAAAGGAGCAGGACGTATATTCAGTTCAGTGTCCAGTGAGCACTGTGGAGAACAAGTGAAGCTGGGAGGAGAGTTGATTTATAGCAAACCACTGGAACAGGATCCCTCTAACCTCAATCACAGTAAATCATTTAACAATATTACACTCATAAGGCATTATGAAAAACAGTTTATTACACAGTGTGGATACAACAGATGCTTTGTTTTTTTTCTTGTGTTTGTCAGAATTTAGTAGTCCAGTGCGCAGATGAGGGCTACTCCCCGTTTGATCCAGTGCCTCTGGCTGATATCTGTAGGCAGTTCCACAGCCATCACATAGTTGGTGGAATGACCGGTTGAAGATAAAGTCCCTACAAAGGCACACAAAGCAGTTCAGTGCATTTGACAAAGCATTTCACAAAGCATTTGAGTTGTTTGTATTTTCTATCACAGCACTGAGTTCAGTGTTTCTAACCAGTCTACCATGCCAGCACACGAGGTGTTGGCTACTGTGCTGTGGGTGGAAAATACAGAGCTGCACTTTCAGACGCTTTGTGAAACAAGACACTAACTGGAGTCTATTTTGGGTGAGTAATAAAACCACCAAAAGGGGATACACACAAACACTAGAGCGAGCAGAGCAACACCTATAGTCGCACTGAAGAACAGGGTTAATACAGCTCAGCAAAAGTTTTAGAGAATACATTTTTCTTGAATAAAAAAATTATTATTATAATTCCAGCGCGATCTAATCTAGCAAATAATATTATTTGTAGTACAGATGAATCCACTCAAGCTCAGATACTGTGTACTAACCAGCACGTGTGAGGGTCTTGTAGACGGGGCAGACATAGACCCCAGAGGTTGGAGGTTTGCGATTGGGTTTGGGGATCAGCCAGATGACGGGCATTTCTGTGTAGAGCTCCTTGGGCCTGGACTCGCTGAGTTGACCTGCTTCGTAATCCCAGCGAGCCCCTTCCAGGAATAGACCTTGGATGTAGCACCCTGCGTTTGGTTTCTCCGTTATCTCTGACGCTGACTTCACTATTACCTGAGGTAGAAGGGATTACAAAGGAAATGAGGAAGAGACTGGGTGACAGCCTGTATAAACCATTAATAGCAAATCTTCAAAGCAATGCTAATAAAAATTGACCATACGTGTCGATATTGATACAACATCAATTTAGACGGGTAAATATGTAGTGCTACACCCAAAATCTGTATGTTTTTAGCCAGTGGGGCTAAAGCTGTCAGCTTAATGTCAGACCTCAAAGTCAAATCCAATTGTGTCGATGGAGGTGCCGGAGCGACGGGCGTAATTCTGCAGGGTTCCTGTGAGAAAAGCCTGTGGGGAAAAGAAGCCGCTAATCCAGAAAACAGCTGGAATGCCATTATTGATCCATCTCTGCAGGTAATTGATCCTCTGAAGCAGGTCTGACACCCAGGAGGCCAGGGGCTTTAGAGACGGGTATGCCTGGAAGGAGAGAGAGACGCATTCCCAGTCAAAGAGCTATGTATTCTTAGAGAACAGAGGCTGGAACTATTAGAGCAGGACAGAAATGTCTCCAAAAGTTTATCAATATCTTGCACACTGAGATCACTCCCAAATGTCAAATGTTCAAGTCTCATCCCCAAATGCATCCACTAAAACACACAGATGGATGTCACAATATTATTCAGTTCAAGGCCCACTGCTGTATTCTGTACTGGCATTTTCAGTATGCCTTACCTAAAAAAATCCTCTATTTTGACTTAGTGTGTGCGAGTCAAGGTTTCACAATTATCCAGGGTGAGCCGTCCTGCCCACAGAATTGCTAAATGCATAAAAATATGAGACGGTAATTGTTTACAAATAAGGATTTTGAAATGAAGAGAATTCATTCACATAAACACAGCATTTTGTTGTGTGGGTTGTCTTCATCATGTTATGTTTAACAGTGGTTGTAACTAACATCTGAGCAATGGGCAGTGGTACCCACAAGAGAACCAGAAGGAGAATAACTGTTGTGTGTGTCTTGCCTTGGCTTTCCACATATCGGGCACCACATTGTTGAACAGGCTGTTGGCCATGAGCTCCAGTTCTGATGACATCACCACTAAACCCTTCAGAGCCTTCACAATATCACTGAGACTCTGAGAGATGACTGCCAGCAGTGTATTATATCTGAAAGACAAAAAGATACAAGGACCAGTTACTGAAGAACTAATGATTTAAACTGGCAATTCCTGATTCAGCACTCAGTCATTCATGTTTCCTACTATTTGCCAATTACAAGAGCATGTGCATCACTTGTGTTTGCTCATTTGATCAAGATGGGCAAAGACAAATACATAACAATTATATGTCATAAAGGGAAGTAAAAACGTAAGATAAATATATCAAGAAATCACACTGAGGGCCCAAAAGTAGTAAAATAATTTTGTTCTTGCAGCCTAATACAACTTAAATATGATTACTGCTAACATACCTGCTAGATTTAGTTACAAATCTAAATAAGTAATAATTTGTAAATTACTAACTATGACCAAAAACTCCCAGATGGAGTTTATAAAAGTTATTAATGAATGAATTTATTAGTCCAAGGACAAGCAACAAGCAAACAACAATATAAGAGGTAGTTTAACAACACTTAAAGATAAAAATGAGAAAAGTTTTTACGACTCCACAGTGTAAAAAGAAAGATAATATATTTGCGAGAAGCTGAAAGGACCATTGATCAATAAATCAGCAATTACAATTCCAGCTTCCAGCTGGAGAGTTGCTGACATCTCACGCTACAGCTACTCACACATAACCGGATGAAAAAGCAGTTATTATTACAGTATGATTACCGAGACGTATAATTATGATTACAAGCTGTGACTTTTGAAGGGTACAATTTCAGCTACTTGACTTAAATAGAGATATTACATTACTGTTGGTTACGCATTTAATTACTGGTTTTTTTTTACCTCAAAAGTGAAACAATTGGACATTGGGAAAAATCACAGAACTATTATGGACACTGAGCTGCAAATGTTGAGCTAAATATAGTCAAAGAGGCTTTCAGTGCAGCACACATGGTAGTTTCTTTCTCTGATCTCAAAGAATTACCAAACTGTATCATTATGTTTATATCAAGGAGACCTGAGGTGTGGTTTGTGAAGTTATGTTTTAGCACAGCCTAATGTTACCTGATGACCTCCTGGATGAGCACTGTGTTCATGGACTCTTCATAGAGGACCGGGTACTTTTCCATCACCTCCTGAACACTGAAAGGCTGAGGAATCTTTTCCACGATGCCGGCCACTATCTCCTCCACTCTCTACGGTACAGGAAAGGGCACATCACCAATGAAGCACAACATGTCTCAGCCGTACGTAGTCCAGGCATTTACAAACACACACATTAGGTCAAAACAATGCTCAGTTAAGTATTTTCGGAGGGGATGATGAAATTATGTTTTATGTCCCTGCAAACTATGACATTATACAAGTAGTACTAAAAAATTGAGAGTAGACAAAATCAAATCAATAGATATGTGTACCTCCTCCAGTGTTTTGCCCCCAGCAGATGCAGCTCGGGGTTGGAGACGGACGACGGCTCCCAGCAGAGCGAAAGTCTCCTTCTGGGCAGAGCTGATGTTGCCGTTGTCATGGAGACCAAAGATCTCAGGTGTATCGTTGACGGGCAAACCACGAATGTATGCCAAGTAACCCTAGAGTCAGAATTACCATGACATCAGGTCACTCGCGGACACCAACTGTTATCAATGAGTTTCAGAGTCAGCAGTTCAGAAGTTGATGCGCTTTGATTTACTATAGTTTAGCATTTTTCTCTCATTTTGATGTTAAAACTAAATGTTATACACAACCTGTGGACCAGCACATTTCATTAAGCTAAAGTTAGACTTCTCATTAGAGAAATGCTGTGTGTCTTAAAGGGTCGTTTCACCCAGTCTTGGTTAATCGACCCTTTAATGAATGATTCAATATGGTTTGTCTGTTTTCTGCTTTTAAAAGAATTATCTCCCTTTTTTAGTGTTATGGTGTTTAATTATAAAGACATCATCATGTTTCATAGATGGTTGTCTTATCGCCTGAAGACTCAACGATAGGTATACTGAATAGAGAGCGGCAACGTGATTCCCCAACCTTTGAAACGATATGCGGTTTTGGAGTATACCAACTGATGCAGACAAAGGTCAAGTCTAATGCACTACTCTTATCACAATCTTTTGAAAGCTCCTGCGTTTATCTCACATTGATATCCAGATTCGTGTCTATCTGCCGGTAGACTCCAGATGAAGAGTAGACATGATCATCATTAAGCACAGTGGGACAGTAGAAATCTTCCAGCACAGTGAGCAGACATCGTCTATCCCAGTCATCTGTGACGCGGCCGCCATAATTAATCTCCCCTGCAGTATATTTTAGCACCTGGACAGGTAGAGGACAAAAAGGCTCAAACACACACTCATTCTCTGAGACAATGTGGGTCTCTTACTGCAGGGCAAGGCACATGTCACAATAGCAATTAACTGTGAGCAATGGACATGTAGAATACAAGACAAGTTAGGAAGAGAAAGGGAACAGCATCAGCGTGATTGGAAAGGAAGTGGCTTTGGAACTATTGCTGTCTTAACAGGCTGTTGAATATTGACAGAAGCCTTCTCTCCTCCCACCTTGTATGGGACGTCCTGGTACTCATCCAGGAACATTTTGAGTTGGCTGATGCAGATGTTCAGGTCTCCGTCTGTGAAGTCATAGGGAATGTTAAAGCCCAGTGGGCCAAACTTCCTTCGCTCCAGAGCAATTCCATGGAAGAGACACAGAGACAGGAGCAGAGACTTGAGGTGTGCGGTCTGGAGAGGAGAGCAGAGGAGAGGAATAAGTTGGAGATACTACTAGGTACTAGATGTTCTCAAAAACAAAGCTGATCTGCAAGGCAGGTTTTCTAATCAAAAGTATAAAGTGATAAATACAATATGCTGGAACAGACTCAGATGGTGACAGAAGACTGGGCAGACCTTGGTAGAAGAGGAGATAAAATCATTGGTGAGCCTTCGGTAAGTTTTCTGAAGATTGGCCTTGATTCCCCTGGGAGGCTCAATGGTCATCTTTGACCCATTTTGGAGAATGGACACCGGGAACTTGTTGCTGGGAAGACTTGTGAGCCACAGACGGAAGTCCTTGTGCACCTATTTGGGGTGTTGTGGGACATGTGGTGCCCGTGGGCAGTAAAGGAAGTATTAACACTGGCAAAGTAAAGGAAAGCTTGTCGAACATACAATACTACAATAGTGTGAAGTACGTGTGTGCATATGATCTGACCTTTTCTGGGTTGATGTTTTCAATGATTCTCTCCAGGGAGGGCATCCAGCTGGGCGCCAGGTGACAGTTCTGGAAAAAGACCCACTGACCGCTCTCCATGGCAGAGTGCATCAGGAACTCAGCCCGGGGGCCCTAAATCACATAACAACAGCAGGAGAAGAAAAGGCAGATGTGAAGACAACAACAACAACAGTTGTGCCAAAAACAGTAAATTTAACACAAGGCTTAAATTTAAGAGAAAACATCCACGTTTCCTGGAAAGTTTTTTATATTTAAAGAGCGAGTAACATAGTCATAAAATAATCTCCCTTCAGCCAGTTTGACATTCTAGGAGTCTTTCAGATAGGCTCAAGAGCTCTAGACAGAAACAGAGGACAGGTTGATGTAACAGCCCAGTATGAGCCAGGATTCTAACTCACATAATTGAAAGTAATGTGATAAACACACGCTAACACCTATTGAACAGCCACAGGGGTAGTGTGTTACTGGGAGAAATGTTTGGCCAGCCACTAGGTTTCAGGTTTGTGGAGGATGAGTCTGCATTTATCCTAAAACGTACACGTGAGATTTTTCTGGTTATTCTTTGAGTTTATTTATGGTGTCCTGTAATCTAGCATCTGTCAAAGTAGTATTGTACATTGCCCTGGCCTATGGCCATAAATAGAGAAACAATTAGCACATAGGTGGCCATTCTTAACATGACAAATGAGAATGGCCTGGTTCTGTGAGAAAGTGTTGTACAGTGCCTCTCCCCAGGGTCAGAGAGACTGTACGAAAGAGAGAGTGAGAGATAATTCCCAGGCACCCCCCATGACCCTGACCTGGCCCTGGCCCAGAGACATGGCACTCATTTTCTTGGAGAACCGCATGACATCAGCAAACTTGTAGAGGTCAGCAGCAGGGTCAGTCCCAGGGGACAGGGCAAAGATGAGGGGAGTGGAGGGGGACGACGCCTTGAATACCACGGACAGGTCTGACGTCTGTGGAAAGATGGAGAGAGAAGGAACAACAAGCCATAAATAATGCTGCGGCATACTGTAGAGCAAACAACCGGAAATGATTTTCAGGTGAAGTTAGCAGAGTTAATACCGTACTCCAAACATTAACCAATGTTTGCACTGATGCAGACCCAGCCAAAACAAATGGAACCATCATTGTCATGTTAATATTACCACACATCTAAGCCACTGCCAGAGAGATAAGACATATTGGTTTTAATATCAACATTAACACAAGAGGTAGGAGAGTGATGCTACCTGAGGCTCATTGAAGCGTTGTCCCAGCTGAGCTGAGACAAAGTCCTGCAGGCCTTGAACAAGACAGTCAGCCCTCAGACAGCGCAGGACCAACAGCTTCTGGAATGAGTCCAGCTTTGTCTCCCACTCTCCAGGGAGAGGCTCCCTAGAGGCAAACAAACACACATGCACACCTTGTTAGATATTGACAGCTTCGGCACAGTTCAAATTAAGGAAACAAGTGTGCACTTGTCAGCATAGTGCTTATCTATGCGTGCCTGTGAGGCTGTTTGCTGTCAAAAATGATCTTGAAACCCTGCAGATATTCGCTGAAGCTCTCTGCCAGGTTGCTGAAGTTTTTCAGAGCGCCAAGGCCCAGGATGTCCTGCCAGGCGCGCTCCGACAGCCAACTCACTGCCGGGTTGGTCAGCTCTTGGACGGGCATCCCTCCAGAAAGCAGGTAGTGCCAGTCAGTCTGCCACGGAGACACAACACAGATTCATTAAATGTACCCGGATTAACTCCATTTCATGTATTTGTATGAGTACCTACAGGAAATTAAAGATGGGAAGGAGACTGTGCAAACTCCCCTGTTTCTCACCATATCAATTTTGTTCTCATTCATCATGATGCGAGCACAGAGGAGAAAGGCGAACATGAGTTTGTGCCTCTCAAACAAGCTGCGGCATACATTGCTGTACAGGCTGAAGGTGAAACATTCATTGATGTTGGCGATTCTCTTCTCCACTGTGTCTGTGAGAAACATGTCAAGAAAAAGAATTAGTGGAAGCAGGGAAACATCCCTTCATCTGGTTTCAATGCTGTGGAATTTCTTTCTACCTGCTCTCTTAGAATTGACAATGTCAGCCATGAAGATGCCAAGGAACCACTCCAGTGAGTACTGGTACATGGGGTCAACATTGGCCAGGTTCGATACACAGAAGAAGAGGATCCGAGCACGCACAGCCACCGGCACATACTCCAGACGGGTGGCGTCAATGTCCTGCTCTGTCTTCTCCGCCACCATCACTTTGGCCTACCAGTAAAACCAGCTTGCGTTAAATCCAACAATAGTAGCTTGTCAGTTTGACGACAAATCACTTTAGTATCATATATGAGGTCTGAAGGTAGAAAAACCCTTCCAAGGTAGGCCATATACGATATTAGAGGTAATAGCTCTCCCACTATTTTACCTTGATCTCTCCAGCTTTGATCTTGGAAGCCCCCAACACTTGGATGAGCTCCTCATTGTCCACAGGGTTTCCCTCTGTGGAGCTGAGTCGGAACAGGATCTCATCTTCAATTTCTTTTAGCTCCTGCTTCATCTTCGCGTTACTGATTATCAGCCGGTTCTTAGCCTCCTCCAGGTCTGGACGCTCCTCAGCCACCACCTGGTCCAGCAACTGGTCCTCGAGACCACTGGAAATGCACATTTACACAAACACAGATCATAACACTAAGACATAACTGTTAGAAGTTCATACCCTAAATTTGATTCTGAAAAAATATTGGTTTTCTATCTGGCATACAGTTGTCAGCAGTTTTTTAATAAACCCTAAAATCCTTAGCTAACAATTTTATTTTGAGTTGTAGAATGCTATTTTGGTACAGTATTTAATGACAAATTGATAAACAGATGAGACTGAAAGACAAATAGACAATCTTGCGTTACCACTGTTGTTAAATGTTAGTTATTATTATATAGTTTGCACTAAATATTTCAATAAATACACAGCCTGTGTATTTTGGATGCTGGGCCAATTAAGACAATAACCGTTCTGTCAGCTCTACATGTTGAAGGAGCTGAGTAAAGTGTGATCATACCTGAAATAATTGATGATAAATCTACAAAAATGAAGTTTCTGAATTTTGCTTTTATGTGTTAAAGGCATGTTACCTGGATGACAGGGTGAAGTTAATGAGGGTGACTTTGGTGGAGACCTCTGGAGAGTAGTGCGGGTTAGGCAGCTTAGTGGTGATGTACATCTTGAAGTCTTCATGGTAAAAGATGACTGAATCCCCGAGCTTCAGCATTGTGCTACCTTGCAGCTTAAATGTCTAAGGGCAGAAAAATGTGACTTAAGAGTATGTGGTAGATATTTGCATATAACACTGCCATACATTACAAGTGATTTTTGTTTGTAATAAGTGTGTGTGTGTGTGTGTGTGTGTGTTCACCTGTTTCAACAAGACACGTTCTAGAGCAGGATCTATCTCCTCTCCTATATTCTCCAAGAGGCAGGGTTTACCAAATCTAATGGCGTTCTCAAGACTGCGCAGGAAGTCCCGGTCACTTAGCTTCATAACCTCCAATCCATTGTCCTGCTCCTGGGTGACAACAGGAAGCAAGTACTGTATGAATGAACAGTGGATTAAATACTGACACTGAGAAGCTTTCCAGAGGAGTTGTGGGTGATGTGGAATATGAGGTAACCCCAACAGAACAGTACACCCACTGGTTGCCACAGAGCCAAAGCAGGTACACGTGTATGTACTGAACCTAGTTTAACAACATATTGAGCACCTGCACCTGTGAAGGAATAAATTCAGATCTTGATAAAGCTGCTTTTCATATGTGTTTTTGTCCCACTGGCACCCTCTACAGTTCAGATCAGCACACAGATTTCTCACCATATTTTTGATCCATGTGTTGGCTTGTCCCTGAGGATCAATGAATAAAGGCCAGCGCAGAGAGTACTGGGCAATCACACCACTCTCCACTGATAGCTTATCCTTGGGCAGACCTGATATCTATGCACATAGAAATGACAACGTATGATGACTGTAAAGGTAAATGATCATTAATAGTTAATCTAAAACTGATTCAGTCTGATGGTCTGACAAATTACAATCAAAATGTTAAAAGGCTTAGGCCCTAAATGCCAGCTGATGGTAGGATGGTTCTGACCTGCCAGGAGCGGATCTTGACTGGATCTCCTATGGTGTTGATCATGTTGGGTTCGTCAGTGTGTGGAACACTTAGCTCTTTGAAACAATGCAGCCACTCCTCTGACATGGCCGCCCTGTACTCTCCCTAGGAACAGACAGAAAAACAGTGGCACACTGACTAACCTTCAAAAAAATACTCAAATCACAAAGAGACACACAACAGCCACACATCTACAATAAAGGTCAAAATAAGCACAGAATAAAAAATACAAAAAGACCAAAACAACTATGAAGAGACACAAAATTACCACAAAGAGACACAAAACCACAGAGAGATGCGTAACGCCTACAAAGAAACACAAAACAACCGCAAAACATATTCACACTCATGCACGAACTGAAATACAACCCACTTACAGTGAAGGGCCCCAGGTATGCTACGTATCCTGCAGATAGGAGCACATCGCCTGCCACATTATTGACCATGTCATCCAGATGTTGCACTGTTTCCTTCCAATGCACTTTCTCATCTGCCAGTCCACCAATAAGCTGGAGAAAACAAATGCATCATCATTATACAATTATCAATATTAATGAAGGTAAATATGTTGAGATTAACTGAAAATTGCATTTTCTTTGGCCTTGCCATTTAAGAGCAGACAATGCCTGTTAGAGAACATCATATCCCCGCAGGGATCAAGTCTTATCCCATCTTCTCCCTCCTTCTGACCTTGTCTGCTCGAACGAGGCGGGCCTCACACAGTTGATACTTGTCCCGTTCATCTTTCATAGCCACATAGTCCTCGTACTTGGCTTGCAAAGGTGGGATGCGGCCCTCCAAAAGATGCCTCATCGTCTCCAGCTCCTCCTGCATCTTACTCACATCCTCCGTTGTGCTAAGAAACTAAATGATCACAGAACGTCAGGTAATCAGATACGATTTCTAATCAAGCAGTATATGTACACAAATTGAATTTCTGGCATGTTTATTTTGCCAGTTCAGTGTCTTGCCTTGTCCAGGCCAGTCTTCATGCGCTGTCGCGCACCGCTCAGTTCTTGCTTCTTGCGTCCAATGAGAATTGAGAAGATTTTGAGCAGTTCCAGGTAGCTTTTGGGAGTGACACAGTTGTGTCGAGAAAGCTCAGCCAGGTAATGTTCACACTTCCTGGCTACCATCTGGTGGATCTTTACACACATCAATGTCTGGAGAAGAAAATCAATTAGGGAGAGACTTTGTTTAATGAAAAGTTTTTTCAGCATCTTAGATTTTTGATTTCAGTTTTTTCCATATTTCCTTTTCTTTTAAGGTGGCCAGTCATTTCTATTCATTTAACCAAGGTATAAAAATGCATTTGAGACAGAAATTATCCTGTATCCTTATTAAATGGCAGTCAATCTGCTGCATGTTGATCGCTCCTGGTTGAACTGCATTACCACACAATTTGACAATAACATTGGACATGTACATGTTGACTGGGTTTGATAGCCTTTCTCAAGCAAGTCTCAAGTCGTTTCGACCCACATGCCCTCATCTTATCTATATGCTATCTTATGTCTCTTTTCTCATTGTAAGAGATAAGACACAGACAAATCCAAACTGGGGCTCAGTGTGATTAGCCAATGAGACAGAAATATAAAATGAGAAAGCTTGTTGACACATTTTCTATTATAGCGAGGTTAAGTTTGTTTCTATGTATTTTTATTTCAATTATGGAAATTATTAAATATTTTCAATATATGGTACTTACTATCCTACAACCTTCATATCAATAAAGCCCACTGACACACACACACACACACACACACACACACACACACACACACACAAACAGAGCATCCTCACCAGTGCCTTCATGGCTGTGGGGCTGGCTTCTAGCTCAGGCAGCTTATTAAGAAAGGATGTGGCCACAGCATGCAGAGCCTCCTCTGGCCAGGCACTGAACCAGTCTATGGTGCAACACGTCACCAGTGAGGGAAACTGCCTCAGTCGTGCACGAAACACCTCACCAATAGGACTGCAGAGGAAGAAGTGAAAGTGAGAAGTGTGAGTAGCAGAAAGGGAAACATGGATGGGTATAAGAAGAACAAAGATGAATTTATCCACTTCTTTTAATTTGCTTTTGACCAAGTAATCAAAACTTTGTACAACCTCATGCAGAGTACAGTGTGTATGTTGCTGCGGACCCTCCTGATGTAGGCAGCCATGAGGTTGGCTTTAGTTGGCTGTTGGCCCAGGTCTTGCACCACGGGCTTCATGGCTGTCAGGATGCGCTCCTGCTCGTCTGTTGTATACAGGTTGGGAACATCCCCAGAGTTCAAAATGTTGTTGATATCCTCCATGAAGGACTCATTCTTAATCTGGGAGATTAACACAAAGGTAATGATGAGTAAAATGCTGCACTGTCTTTATGCATTGTATACTCTACATGTGGCATTTTTGTTGTTGCATGTTGCACATCTCATTCAATTTGAATAACTAAATAGATTGAAAAGTGTCGACAGTGCAACAGCATTCCTACCACAACATTCCATTACAGTATGTACTATGACTGTGTGATAGTGATGTTAATCAACAACCACAAACTTGCAGTATACTGTAGCAGGTGATTAGAGTTGTTACCTGTGTGTCCACAAAGAGGAAGGTGATCTGCTGGTTCTCAAGGCCGGCCTTCAGCGTGATGCTTTTAATATCTTCTCTCCACTCTGTCTGACCGTAGTTCTTTGACAGCTCAATCTGGAAACACTCATATTGTGACCTGAATATGGACAAACACTATGAGGACGGGCGACAAGATGTTCCAGCATGTTTTAGGACATTAACACTAAATTGTGTATACCTTTGGTTGAATGATCTTAAAAAAAAAAAAAAAAAAGCACCTGCTGTGCCTGAGCTACTACTCAGTAATCAATCAATAATGCAACTTTGGTATAAAACAAAAGTAACTGTTGATTGTTACATATTGCTCTATCTATCCCATGTGTCATTATGATGTTGTTTGCTGAAAATAAATGTAAAAAGCTGCCCATAAGTTAGGACATCAATCCAAAAATGTCTGTATTCTTTGGAAAAAGGTGCGCAGCAGTAACACAAAATTATCAAAAATGTGCAAAACCAGCAGTGCAATCCTTCTGTTTCAAGAGAGTTGTACTCTGCCCGTTGGCATGGGAATTACACAGTGTAGGAATCTCACATATATGAGGCCAGCCTGGTGAGTGACTGACGCCCGCTCCCAACCACTCCAAGCAATAGGGCATTGCCCAGAGGCTGGCGTAGGATGCGGCTAATGCGGCACACATGTTCAATGGCATCCACGAAGAGCACCAGCTTCATCTTGGTGGTACTGATCTGGTTGTAGTCTTCCATGTACTCATTCATCACTTTCACCAACTAAATGATATAATAAATGGGTAAAAGAATCAAGCATTTTGGAAAAGTATACATTCCCTTATGCTGCAGAATAGAAAATAAAAGATTGATGTAAGTACAATGTTACTCCCCATAAGCCAAATGATCAGCTATTAAGCAAAAGAAAAACATACCTTAAAATACTCTCAGCACTGGTTTCCACCACTCACCTTTTCCTTGTCTTCTATGAGTGTGTAGACCTTGCGATCATCTCCAGGATTCATGAAATCTCCATACAAAACAGGTTGGCAGGTTACAGCCACTTCAAAGCTGCAGTCAAACTCCTGAATGCAGTCCTTTAGGATCCTGTTGAACCAGTCCCTGTCCTCAACACACGCCAGGCGATCTCGGAAAACCCGACAGCTTTCGTGGTACCACAGCTGCAGCAGCTGCAATTTGTCCTAAAATCACCAAAGTCACACTACTTTTATACTGGCTGTATTAAGATAAGACTTTCAATCCTCCTGACATTAATTTGATTCTGTTGCATCTGACTACCTCTATCATTACAGCCTCAGCCATCAGGATGCCCTGGAAGACTTTGGACAGGTCTCTGAGGTTAAAGTTGTAATGGGACTTGGCTGGAGTTGGGAGGAGCTGGGAGGCAATGGTGGAGTAGACTCTGATAGTAGCGTCTACAAGAGGCTCATTCAGCGGCTGGATTACTGGCACAGGTCCTGATGAATGATAGCAGGATAGAAGAGAGAGGTGAAAGAATTGAAAACATTAAATTAAATTCATGTGAGAATCTATTAACTTGGTCAACAACATATGTAAATGTGCGCTGTGAATAAAACGACTTAAAATGACAATTTTTTTGTAACCTCTCATAACATACAAGCTAACTAACTGATTCTGAGTATTAAAATACATTTTTACACTCTTTGGACTCTTAATCTACTTCCTATCTCTGTGTCCCTGACTTACTGCCTGCTTCCTTGTTACTCATATTTCCACTTGAAAGAGAACAAAGATTCAGTTACAAACTATTGTTAGTTTTTCTTTTTCACCAGCTTATGTACGTAAGTATTCTCTACCTTCTGCACGTCTAGCGGACCCGACTCACCCATCCAACTGCCCAGAATGGTGGAGAAAATCTTTTTCTTGCTGGCATCTTCCATTTCAGTGAAGGACAGGAAGTTGAAGTGGCGTGTGAAGCGCTGGGTGATGGGGCTCTGGCCTCCACCTGGGGGTCCTATGGCACAGGCAAAATTGATGTCCACTAAGTGCTTGAATGTCCCTGTTTAGAAAGGACAGGAAAACAAGAGAGAAGCTCAATCTAATGAGGCTTTTCACATTTCTTAAGTGCGGAAATAACAAAACCCAAATCCATGTATTCAAATAGTAACAATTAATATTTTAGGCATGAAGACAAACTCTAGAGCAATGTACTATTAGTGCAATACAACAGTAAAGGGTCAATATTGAATATCAAAAGCTCAAAGGATCAACAGGGTGGGAAAAGGGGGAAAAAAACTCTGGTATTCTCACCTATCTGTTTCCTGTCATACCAGCCACCATGGTCCATCCACTGCCTCAGCAGTTCAATAGGAGGCTGAGCGCCATAGGTCTCCAACATGGGCATGTTTAGGTCATCAATGAAGAAGACGATGTGCTTCCCTATTGGAGGTCCAAACACACCTTTCCGCCTGACACACAGGCACGTGAATCATTGAAATGATTGGTCAAAAATATATTGTTGTGTTGTAAATTATGTGTAGTTGGATTGATAAAGTATAGTAGATCAGGCATACCTTTTGTCTAGCTTACTGTCAATATAATCTTGAGTCTGGTTGGCTGAGGTGCGGGCAGAGAACATGAGGAAGTGTGTGATGTATTCAGCAGGCATGTTCTTCAGCAGCTTGTCTGACATGGTCAGAGTCTTTCCTGTGCCAGTTGGCCCAATACAGAGCACCTGGATCCCACACACACACACACACACACACATAAATATAAATCATGTCTACTGGTGCCTTTCCAAGGCAATGAAAGCATTTAAATGTAAAGCGTTTATCGTTGGATTCTGAATAAGTGCTTGTTATTATATAACAATTACAGACATTTGTAGACAAGATGTGTGAAGCTCAACTACAGTCAAAGTACTCACTGGTTTCTTATTGGTCAAAAGCATATCCATGAGGAAAGACATTCTCACTGTGTCAGCAGTGGGAACGATGATGTCAGCATAATTTGTCTCTGGGGTGATCACAACACTCTTTGCGTATTTCATCCAGCTGACCCACTGGACCTAAAGTACAGGCAAAACGATGATTGAGAGAAAAGCAAAAATGCATCTGTTGCTCTTGATTGCATGAAATATTGGTATCAGTTTACTTTTCTTTCCTCGTCTTCTTTATCATCCTCAAAGTTACTAATCCCTGCATCATCCAGTCTGTAGTCGTACACCAGTCCCTCCTCTGGAAAGTATAACTGAATCTGAAGAACAAATACTTTTAAGTTAATCAAAATAAACCAACGTCAAGAAATAATCCAGCTGTCAATAGAAATGACAATATAATTATTTTGGTATGGGGATGCTAAAGTGGAGATGCTGATATGACCTTTTCCTCTGCCATCTTGTTCTTGAGCCAGGCACTGAAGCGCTTACAGCTGGCTGCGTCTCCTGTGGCTCCCACACTCCACACCAGAGAGAAAAAGAACCAGGGCTCAATCAGCTCCTGCAGACGGTCCAATTTCTTTTGGGGCTGTGGCCTCTCATCCTACAAGACAATAAAGGATTGGTGGGGGATCACAATCAACACAATTCACTTATACAAAAGTACTGGAAAGATTTTCCATGAATTTAGAGGAGAAATCAGGAACTGCACATTAATTTACACTCATGACTTTGTTGTTGGAATGCATCGAATATGTTATTGAATGCTCAAGTAGCATGATTGCTAATACATTCATTACTGAAACAGAATAGGTACAACTCAACAAACTCAGTCAATGTTTTCAATAGCAGAGCATCTTCTGTATAGTTTCACCACACTTGACCTCCCTGTGTGGCAAGCGAGAAAAAAAATCTGTTGATCCATTTTCTAAGTCTCGTGTAAATTGTTTTCTCTCCTGAGTGTATGACTTTAGAACAGGTGGCAAAAGTCATAAACACAAGAGAGAACACCGTTTGGATGAGACTTAGAAAATCTTTCACCAACATTTGTTTTTTCACTTGCCTCGCAGGGCTTCATCATACAGATGACTTTGATAACCATACATTCATTCAAATCCCATTGCAGTTTTTAAATTAGCTCAAAACCTTGTGTTTTGAAGTAGCTTGTACAGCTTCTCTAAAGCACTAAATATTTACCATACAAAGCTCGAACTCCTACGAGTATTATATATTCTACATCATATTTGCACAGAAATCCCTATATATTCATTTCATGGGGGCTAAACCAACAAAGAAAAGCAGCACACACCTCTCTAATGGCGTAAGGATTGAAGAAGCAGTCCATAAGTTTAAGCAGACTGCAGGTTAGGTTGCTGTCCAGAGAGGGGATGACCTCCTTTACTGATGTGCGGACAAATGTGACGGAGTCCTGTTAAAAGTACAGAAAAACAAAAACAGCACGAAGTTTATACAATAATCATCGACTATAATGAAAAGCTTTAGGATTCCCTGGTGGTGTCTTTCAGTTATTTCTCCCCTCTCACCTGTAGGAACCTGGCAAACAGGGAGTCAAGCTGCTCTGTGAACGGTTTCAGGGCTTTAGGGACTCGCCTCAGCCAACACTCTGTATAAGGGATGAGGCCCAGGATACTGGGCTCCAGGTAGACCATACCACAGCGAGACACTGTAGCTGGAGATGCCACCGCCAGGTCTTGCACCTCAAACATCATGGTCATTGCCTGCAAGGGGAAAACACAGAATGTCTGAATGCACATGGGACAGAGGAGAACACAGGGACAAAAACGAAGACTTAACCTTACATCAGTGAGCTTGATTATTTCCCCAGAGCTTAGGCACAGTTTTTTGTTGTCATCCAGCACAGTGTTCATGTTCTCAATCCATACAGCATCCACTGGCCCATCAAACATGTACCACTTTTTCTCATTGTCCATGGATGCTGCACCTCTACGGATAACAGATGAGAGGATACCATCTGTCCTGTAGGGGTGGAGAAAAAGTGTCTGTGTGTAGTATAAGTCTGACTGGTTTCTTTGGTTGTTCTGTAGTTTGTGTAAAACAAAGCATCACCTACCACTCATGTGTGAGCAGGTCATACTCCCCGTAGAGCTGTCCCATGGTGATAGACTTGGGGTTGAGGACACACATCTGAACCGCCTCATACACACCCCCACTCACAGAGGGCTGGCCCTTCAGAGCTGTTATTGCCTCACCTAGTATCTCATAACACTAAAACACACAACAGTAATGCTGACATACACACCTCTGCACTGCAAAACTAAAATGATTGTCTACGTTGGAAAACTGTGAAAACAACTGTAAACAACATCTTGACAAGTAAAAGCCTCACCTTGGTTTTGCCTGATCCGGAGGGTCCAACCAACATCAGGCCATGTCTCACCACAGTAGTCTCATACAGCTGAATACACTTACTTATATACCCTGCAATAACCACAAGACTGTCATCTGCTCATCCTAAAAACACAAGTACCTGCATATCTAAAAAAAGAAACATATTTTATGTACTTCCAGAAACACTAACCATCCGCATCTTTGAGGTTCTTCTTGGTGCAGACATTGCGCATGCACTCTTCGAGTGTTCCATAGTTGATTGGCTCCTGTTTTGTTTTAGGGAAAAGATCGGACACAATACTGTTGAAGAGCTTCAAGTCGTCCTGTAAAAACTTTGGCACATTCACATCTCGAATGGCTCGAAGACAGATCAACTCCTGGGAGACAGCAAGATTGCAGAAGAATGATATTAATTTGACAAACTCGATTTGAAATTTGCATCATATTTTCCTTTACTTTATTTCCATCATGAAGAAAAGAAACATTTCTAACCTCATTCATGTCGGGATTTTCTCTTTTCAGGTTTCCAGCAGCTGAGATCACAGTCTTCACAGCTCTCAAACCAAAGTCATAATGATCCTACATATAAACAAGAGCAAAAGTAAACACATCTTCATATCTTTGTTATCCTTATACACACACACACACACGTACACAAACATCTCTCCATCCTCTCGGAGATGTATTAACTATGTAACTATGTGTTGTATACCAATATTTTATAGTTTAATGCTGTCAAATTAAAGTATTAAAGTTTAATAAAGTAATGCCAGTTTAACTAGCTTTTTCAATCTTATGTACACCCAGTTCCCTGGACAAATATCGCATTTACATAGTAATGTAAATGTAATGTCTGAGCTCCTCTGAATCCATACAATACCTGAGAGCTAAGCTGCTCAGAGGAGAGCTTAAAAGTGCTGGTGATCTTCTTGGAGAGGACTTTGGCATCAATGAAGCCAAATGAGTACAAGGAGGTCTCAGCTATCATAGCATAGTCAGGCACCATCATGGCCACAGGACGAAACAGTGCCTGTAGAAGATATAATCTCCTTTGTTGAGCTCCATCTGCTTATCCTCAGTGTTATACAGTTATTTAAAATTAAATCATCATATCAAACCTTGAGATTGTCAGGCAGTTCCGTGCGTCCAGCATAACCAGGAGTCATAGTGATGAATACAGCGCAAGAAGGGACAAGAGGGATCTCTGTCCCCTCAAACACAAACCTCTCTGCCTAAAAACACAACATACACACAATTATCTTACAAATGCATGATACTGCATTTGCTTCTTTTTGGGTGGAATGCAGTGGTGGTGAAAAACTAAATTCTTTACTTAAATAAAAACAATGTATATATTTTACAACTTCATAATGGGAAAGGACTCAATGAAAAGTAAACTTTCATTCCAGATTGTATTTGCAGCAAGATTAGTCACTTTCAGAATTGTAATGATTGACATAATTGACTTTAATTATGTGAAAATTAAAGCACATTGCTGCAGTTGGTCTCTGCAAAAATCATTATTGTTTTTTTCACAATACTACTGTAAATGTGTAATGCTTCCATGTCTCTGTAATTGCTCCAGGAGGTGAATGTTTCTTCAACTCAAGTAATGAAATAAAATGAATGTCATGTTTACTAAAGCATAACAAGCATTTGTTCTTTCTTGAAATGCAGTAGAAATAAAGTACAACATGTATACACAACATTGAAAAACTCACTGCACTTAGACATAGTATTTGTACAACTCATGTACTCTGTGGTTAACTACAGTATGTAGCAGCACATGCATTTCTATTGAATTAACTTCTTCTCACCCTTTGCTGTTGGGCCATTTGTATAGCGGTGATCTGTTGTGCCACCACAGACAGCACTTCCACATTAATGCGATTAAACTCATCAAAGCATGCCCAGGCCCCAGAGCTGCAAAAAGGAAGATGGACAAAACATGAATGCGATTGAAGAAGATATTTAACAGTAGAATTTGGTAATTGCCTCTCACCTGACCAGTCCTTTGAGAAACTTGCCCATTGCAATGAAGTCCAGCTGATCAGAGCAGCTGAAAACAACTGTGTGGATAGCCAGAGCCTTTCCCAGATCTTTGATGGTTTCTGTCTTTCCTGTCCCTGCTGGACCTGCAAGAGCTCCTCCAAACTTCAGGTGTAGAGCTCCTGTTAGGGTCAGGTAGCATCTGAAAGAGGCAGGGGGAGTTTATTCAAACGATTGAATGACATTCAGGGAAAAAAACAGCGTCGACAACATAAGACTTAACAACTACCTGTCAGTGAGTGGGGTGATGACCAGACGTCCAGAGTTACCAAGGTACTCGTATCCATACAAAAACTCTGCATTCACTGCGCGGATGTACAAGTCATCTTTTGCCCAGTAATATCTACAAACAGTATCAGATCAGTATCAAACTTATTCTGCACACAATTAATTGCAATGATAGAATACAGTGAACTCCAACGTCAAGAGTGTGAGAACTAAAAAGCAAGAAAATTACAGAACAAAACAAACAGATAACCTGAGCTGGCTGATCCACTCAAAGTCATTGATGCTTGAGACTTCCTGCTCCACCAGTTTAGCCGCAACATCCTTAGCATGGACCTCTATGACGATAAGGGCAGACAGCACAGCTCGTTGCATCTTAGACAGACGTCCTCTCACCAGCTGCACCAAGTCGCCCAGCTTCAGAATCAAAAGGGGAAGAATGTAGTGCTCAGTACACTGTAGTGGGCACAATGTTAAGTGTAAATGTGAGCGACATGTATTTTTCAAATATTATGGATTTTTAAAGTTTTTAGTTTGAATATTGGCCCCATGTTCCACACCTGTTTCTGTAGTTGGGGATAAAGGCGGTTGGACAAGTCTCCCTGCTCCAAGGCCTCAGACACCTCAGCAGTCCAGAAGACCTGACAGCCAGCTATCACCACTTGACCAGGCCACGATAACACCCACTCTACACGAGGTTGCTGAGGTGTCAGGAGAGCACACAGAGATGGTACAAAAAATGGACAGTTTAAATATGATTTGAAATTGTACAAATAAGCAATACAAGATTGGAATACATATGAAAGTGAGAGTTAGGGTCGCAAACCTCCGGATAGACTTTGAGTGAGCGGTCAATGTTATCCCTCAGTGTGGCCTTCATAGATTTCTCGACCACCCTGAGCCAGTCCTCCAAATTTCCAGTAGGCCACACTGGCAGTGACAGCTTCACCTCCTCCCCTTCTCCAGAGTGCATATGTGTGATCTGTAGATCTGGCTGGAATTGAAGCTGAGAACCAACAGAAGTCTCAGTCGTATGTGGTATGCATGTTATATTTTCAGTAATACATGAGCAGAGTAATTGTAAAGAAACAACAAACCCATGCGATGTTCTCAAAGCATTTGCGTAAGTGCCGTTGTACAGCAGTAGGATCTTTGGTCTGGGACAGAATCTCCAGGAGCTCATCATCTGACAGGAAGTAAAACCTAAAAGGATAAATATCCACTGATCAGTACATAGTGCTAAGTCTGAGTAATCAAAAGTGTTTCGAAGTTTAGCATGGAAACCCATTTCTGGCCCCAAATCGTCCACAAATATATGATTGTTGATAAATTAGCCTTTACTTTTTGAAGACATTGGCTTGTTTTCCTTTTGGTATCAAAGCTACCTCCATTTATAGCAACCAAAGCAAGTTTATTTGGCCAATCCCTGTTGGCGTGATTGTTATTATCGTATGAAAAAATGACATCATTTTCAGGGGAATGGTATGTGGAATCATCTCATAACTTTGTTATTAACACCACCAGCAATTGAGAGCCAGGGGAATCTCAGCACACTTTCAGCGAGGCTTACCTGAGGAAGGATCCTCGTTTTGTCTCCAAGTATTCACTGAGACCCTTCTGCAGCACTTCCAAATGTGTGTTGCACCTTTTCAGTTTGTTTAGTAGATGAACATCTGGACACAGCTCAATTACCTAGAGAAAAATGCAGAAACCCATATTAACAGTTTAAAACAATTAAGTTGTATCACTGTATAAGAACAAAACCTTTGTCCTTTAACCCTTGTGCCTCACTATAAAAACGTTGCTATAATGTCCCGAGAGGACAAAAATGTCTGCATCAAGAAATCTGCCATAAAATTATATTTATATTTAAATAATTATTTACCACTTTAATCTTTTAACCAACATCAGTTCTGACCATAAATGCAATTCATTAATTTTCATTAATTTAACCCTTTAAATGTCAGTTTGTTTTCATAATGCCTCGGTTTTTATTAAACAAAAAAGAACAAAAGACATTTTTTAGTATGGAGACTATTTTCTCCATACTAAATGCGAGGGAATATTTTCATGATATGTCAGTGATCATTGACTTTGACTCATTTTTATTTTTTGTGCAGGAAACCAGAGAAATAGCATACCCATAGAGCAAACATGAAAAAATGGCTCAATATGGTGGAAAATAGTCAAACCATTTTGAAGATATGACAGAATGCGTGATTTATGCTGTAATGGCCATTGGATCAAACATTGTGGTTTGAATGGGTTTCATAGGGAACATTTTTTGTCCATAGGTCTGAGTGTCTGCATTTTGGCTAGTTTATTATAGACTTTTTATGGAAATGAGGTTCCAAAAGTTAAAACAAATAAATAAACCACACTCTTGCCGAAAAGTATGCTATTTGCCATAACACAGGCAAAAAAATAATAATCTAAAATTACAAATTGCCACAAGGCTTTTAATATGAAGTGTTATGGAAGCTCTGACCTTTTGATTATTAAAGGCGCTTTTTATGATTTCCCTCCATATTTTATCCATGAGCTGGAATATTTTTCCTTGCACAGGCAGCTGCTGGTTGATATCATCAGAGCTGAAGATGGGCTCCAAGTAGAGCCAGGAACGCTGGAATGTCAGCCACTCCTGAAGCACATCCTGCAAGCACCAGAAGAGGGCAGTAGCACAACATAAGACACTGCAAAATAATGATACAAAACACAAGACTATAAGTGTGTGCATGTGTATGTGTGTGTACGTGTACTTGAGTCATCCTGAGCTTGCTCTCCCAGGTGTTTATACGGCCCTCAATGTTTGTTCTGAATGGAGAGACAGACATGCTTTGCGTCATGACAATGTGGTCATTCAGCAGCTGCAATGCGTCATCTGGGCTCTTCAATATGTAGGTGCCTGTCTCCTTGTAGGGCAATACATCAAAGACTACTGCCGACCACTCTTGTTCCATCTTTTCCATGGCCTGAGTGAGAAGGTGTCAAAAAAAGCAGCAGCCACCAATTTTAATGCAGATATTCACACACTGGCCATGTGCATGAGCAAGAAAAGTTAGTGGAGTTGCTTTGAACAACAAAAAAACAAAAAAACACAGTTTTACTATATCACTTTGTAGGTGTAACACCCCTCTTAAGTGAACCTATTGTGAAAATTGCATTATAACTTGAACTACATTTAGATCATGCAGAGAATAAAAGTAGGCTTTCCAAATGCTGTCCAAACTTTGCAGTTCCATAGGGTCACTCCATTCATTACACATCCTAGTACTAACTTAACACTTCATAAAACACTGTATTTAGAATATGAATCCTGTTCAAAGGGTACCTCTTCAACGGTGTACTCTTTCTCAGCCACCTGAGACACATGAGCTATGTCATCCAAATGGTTCTGTAGACCAAGCTCCAGGCAGCGAGATAAGTTCAGCTTGGCTGTGGGCACAACTTTCATCTGAATGCGTTTTGAAAGCATCTCCCAGTGTCGGCTTCTCATCCCCGGGTTATTCAGGCCCTGAATCAGATGAATGGAAGGATGGAAGTCCTCAATCTTGCTGTGGATTACAGATGCCATCTGGCACGCTGACGTCGTGTAGGACAAAGAAAACAACAAGAAAAGAACACGTCAGACATATCACACTTCACTTTGTCAAGTTTGATATGGTGATAGATGTGTCACCTACCGGGACTGTCCTTGAACTGTTCAACACATTTGTGCATAGTCTTGTAGGCATTTGTAACAGTGTGCTCAAGCTGCTCAGGGTCGATGGAAATAAGTGGGTCATTGAGCCAGCTCTTATGCCAACGAAGCCAATCAGAGGTGGTGGTCCATAGATCTTTAAAAGGCTGGAAGTCCTTGACAAGCTTCTGCAGCCGATCATACTGTAATACAGATTTACATTTCATTGTCAGAAAAAGTATGACACCTGATGTACTATATGTAATGCCATCTATGAATACTAGTTGAAAGTTTATTAGTTAAATCTTGCTGTATATTACATACATATATATATATATATATATATATATATATATTTATATATATATATATATATATATATATATATATTTACACATATATATATAAGGGGGAATATTCATTTGATGGATTCTCTTTCACTTACATTAGTGAGAGGAATATCAAACAGTCGTTCTCTGGCGTTGTAGGTTTGAGCCATTGTCTGACACTCCTCAAGTTGCTTGCTTGTACGCTTTATTTCGTTGGCAACGTCATGGGCATGAGCCATGTCTGCATGACATGCAAACCCAGCAACCACCATCTATAAACACAGTTGTGGGGAGTTAGAACCAAATAATATCAACTTACTTTGACTGAACCTAAAAATTCTAACATTAAGACAGAATAAACTAAAGCTTGTCTAGAGTGGATTATTTTAGAGACTACTGCCAGAAGTTAAGGGACGACAGTTCAAAAGAAGACATCTGAAAAAGTATAAATCATCAAGGGGCACAACTGTAAGTCCAAACAAGGCTGTGAGTTCAATTGCTGTTGAACAAAAAGACTCAACTGACCATTAGAGAGTTTAGGTGTTTCTCAAAGTCGTCCTGTTTAACCAGATGGATCGTATGGAAGCGCTCCTTGTCCTCAGCATGCTGGACGGCTACTGCTTCCATCTGGCTGATTATCCTTTGAGGCCACCCAATAGCTGTCCACCTGCAGGGATTTGTAACTAAAGCAATCACTGTAATAACTCCACAGTTTCCTCTATTCCCTCAAATCACTACGAACCCAGCAAATCACTTATTACCCCAAAATGAGCGTATAAATTAGAACATTAGCATGATGATGTTACACTTACTTTTTATCAAAATCCTCAGTTGAAAGACAGCGGCAAACTCCTTCTGTCACCTCATAGCCTGGCAGGATCTTGTCAATATCTTCCTGTTGTGGACAGATTATCATCAGATTTATTGACAAAGTAACCCTTCATATGACATATAACAGAAACAGCCAGTCCATGCATGCGCACCTTGTAACTCTTGAGCTGTTCCGGGATTTGCTTTATCCACTCCTCCTTTTCAGCCAGTTCTTCAATGCTGTTGACCCTTTCACATAGCTTTCCACTCATTCTGATGCACTCTTCACATGCCTATGCACATACAAGAGAAAAACGTATAATCAAAGCTAAAAAGGTAGGAAAAGGCCACTTTTAAACTGAAGTAAATGTAGATCTTGTGGAAAAGAAATGCATTATCAAAACACTTTAATGTATGTATACATATATACATACATACAAATGACTTACATTATCAATCTCTTTGTGTAGCTTCAGAGTAAGGTGATCCAGCATTGCATTGGCTAAAGCCATTTTTTTGTTAATGAGAACCTGACGTACAGCCTCTACAGAGACAATGAATGGACCAATGACAATAGAGGATGGAAGAGAGCGCTCGAGCCTTTCCTTGTCTTTGAGATTTTGTTCCATCTCTTTCTTCACCTCCTGATATGTCTGTTCTGCATGTATATGAGATCTGGCAGAGAAGATTAAAAAGTGACTCCATTTAATGAGAAAAGCATGCTGTACGGACCATAAATATGACTGAGCCTTAACCTTGCGGGAGAAGGATACATAATCTTTAAACAGACTTACTTGAGCAGGGTCTCTATGTCCAAGTTGTGTAACTCCAAGTGTTTCTCGTATTCAGCAGCATAAGCCCTGAGAGGTATGGCTGCTTGTATCAAAGCATTGCGGACCTTCTCTCGCAGCTCAGCTACATCTGGATCCAAAAGATTCACTGAATTGAGCACCGGATTGCCACTGATGAACAACTTCTGCATCACAAACTGGCATGGAAAAGAGAGGAACGGTTAAATCATTGACCCTTAGTCATTATCATCATCCATGGACAGAGGAACCTATAATGAACATGTTTTACATTTCATTTCTTTATTTAAGTTAATGCTCTGTAATTCAGGTGATTGCAGATTTTATTTTACCTTATCAGGCTGTGGTACGTTGTATGTGGCCAGAATGGCCTTATCAAACAGGTTGACTATAGATGTCTCAAAATCCTCCAGTGGAAGGCTGTAATGCACCCCAGTCTGATTCAGAACCAAGTCCACCGGGAACAGAGGGTTCTTTTTTGGCCTAGTTATAGAGAATAGAGTAATATTACAAACACAATACTGAATATTTAGGACAGTAATAAGTTGTAAGTATACAATGTGTATGTACAATATAATATTTACATACTGAGTATATAATGTAGAACTAACTCCAAGATATAAGAACAGCATAAGAAAACACACATGCATAAAGCACAAAAAGTGTGTGAAGATGTTTACATAAATGAATGTGTGCAACTGCATGCTATCCTACTTGTAGGGGCTAGTGATAAGGTCCTTCCCCCAGGCCAGGCCCTGAGGACATGTCAGCACACTGTGGCAAGCGTTTAACAGCAGCTGAGTCAAGCTGACCAGCGAATTCAGCACGAGGAAGCGCAGGGAGTCCCGCATGTGTAAGTGCACCACAGCCATCACTCTGTACAGCTTGGACAACTTGTATATGTCCCAGCGAGACTCGTTCACATTGTACGTGCCGATGCGACATTTAACCAGGTTGGAATGGATGCTGTTGCTTATCGTGGAAATCCATTCCTTCCTCAGAAACAAGCTTATCTGGAGAGGGAGGAAAAGATTTCAAGCTTCTTTATTCATGTGATATGCAGGTGTCTTCTTTATCTGCATGGTATCTCTTTCTGGTAATCCACATCAGCAACAAAAATGTATCCATGATTATATTTGAATGAATAGGATTTGTAGAGGCTTTCATTTTTTTTTTTTACCTAGTATCATATGTTTTAAAATAAGTGAGTTGTTGCTGTTAATCTTTTACAAATGGTTTGACCAACAATAAGCTGCAATTTTAGCACTAGTGGTAGTTAAATTTGGGTGCTACGTCTTCAAATTCTTATTTAAAAGAAGCCCAGTATGAAGCAATGCAGAAGAAAAGGTACCCCAATGCTACAATACCTGAGTATGCATTTGAGATTGGATGACTTCAAACTCGTGCAGTTGTAGTGGCTTGGTTGAGGTGACATTGAACAGCCTCATAGTTGCTACTTTGTTGCACTCAGACCGTAGATCATATAATGCAGAGATCACCTCTGGCTTTGTTAGCATGGAACGGACGAAAAAAGCAGCTTTGTTCTCCTCATAGGGAAAGCAAGGAACTGGATAACGCCCTGTACATAGATAAAACAAACAAACAGATTGTGAGGGTGAATGCCATGTTTTGGATGGTAATACATTTCGTTCATCTTAACTTCATTGACTCAAACAAATGTGTACGAAGCAAACCGTCTTACCTTTTTGCGGAACACACTCAGGATCCTTCTGTGGCAGGGTGATGTGGGAAAACTCCTCTGGGTGGCTCATCACTACTTTGTCAAAGATGATGCGGTTCATTGTAAACTCATAGTCCAGTTTGACCTCCTTCTCCAGATCCTCTGTACACTTCTCCAGACTGCACACATAATATTCTCTTTATACACCCTGTTATTTAGTTTACATTTCAACTGAGTGGGATCTATTATAAAACAGATCTTTCTGAAGAAGGAGACAATGACAGAATGTAATATACTCTGACATCACTCACATTTTCAGCCTGAGCCCAGGTGTTGAAAGCGCGTATCTTTTGACACGCTGGAGACTGTGGGTATCAATAGATGGTGTTCCACTCCAGAAGGGCATGCAGTCCACAGATAAGTGGTAGAGAAGCAAGGCTTCTGTGTTCTCCCGATAGCGCAGGGCAAACTGGATCCGTTCCACAAAGACTTGTGGGTCCTCAGCACTGAACATCAATCTGATCCTGGGAACCCAGAACTTAGTGCCTGCTATCATAGTGTTTACTTCTATAAAAAAGGAGGGAGATGAAAGGTATACATACATGGTCAACAGAGACCAGAGGAAATCATGAGATTATACTGTGTCATTATAGTGCTACGACATAAAACCAACCAGGAGATTTGCTCTTTTTGTGTTCCTTATTTAGAGTCTGATTTCCTTCTTCATCGGTCAATTTGCTGTTTTGGAGAACTTTCTGTACCAGGTACTGGCATTTCTCCTTACTATAGTCAAGAACCCCAACCAAATGCCAGCTGTACCCATGGGAGGAGCTTTTTGGGTCCACTTCAAAAGAGAGGGAAGAGAGTAATCACCCAAGAACAAAAAATAGTGTCTATCTCTGTTTACTCAGTATATTCCTGAGGACATTTTACCGGAGGCAATCTGGTCATCTGTAGGCAGCAGGGCTTTTGCAGGAACAGGTTTTTGATCAAGTGATCGTTCAGCATTGCCCAGGGCAAGCCAGTCATCTGGGGTCCGGCAGTCATACTCCTCATTGTCAAATACCTAAAAGGACAAACACAGGAAAGATGAGTGTAGGGTGCTGCTGTGCACCGGTAGTTGGCTCCCCAAATGCTAAAGAAACGATTGCAGCAGTAAAAGACTTACCTCCAGGGGGAGGTAGGGTGATACAGGATTGTCTGTTGTAGTCACATGCTCATCACTATTGCTCCGATGTCTTGGAATTAGGAGATTGGAGTCAATGCCTTTTTCTGCCAGGAGCTGTTCAAAGTCTAACTTAAAATATTCCCTTCGACGTCTACAAGAAAACAATATAAAACAGTATGAATGAGTCTTAACAGGCCGTTAAAATGAACCAATTTGTGGACCCAACTAAACCAGCTAATGTACAATAAGAGAAAATCACAAAATATGTGCTGTATGATAGAAGCTCACTGTCTTACTCAATCACATATGACCAGTGCATTTGGCATTACCGTATGTGCAATACCCTTACTACAACAAATGCAGGAATAGAATGGAAAGCTCCACAGCACTAGATGGTGTGTCCTCTTCTGCCATACATGGTGCTCACAAACACTGCATACCTCTCTATCGCTAACTTGCGTGGGATCTGGCCAGGAAGGGTTTGGTAGGCTATCTGGACCTTGGGTGCATTTCCACCTCGGCAGAAGTAAGAATTTTGTGATTCGTGTGAGGTAGATCTATATTTATTTTTTAGGCTTTCAATGATCCACTGGTCCTCTGGAGTCTTGAAGGTTGTAGCTAAGGAAAACAGTGCAGAAGGACACAGATTTGAATACATAGTTGTATCAGAAATAATGACTGGAAATACCTACATGTCTAAAAGAATGTATGTAATACAGTAGCATCACACCTTTTGTTGTGTTGAGATCAATGAACTCAGAGATGGAATGACCCCGGGACCTCTGCTGGATCTCAGGTCCTGCTGTACAGGACTGATCAATAAACAGGAAGACTCACTCAGTCTCTTGGTTTTCGGTTAGAACTCAACAGAAGCTCAGTGTTTTGCACGGGCTTCATAATGAAATGTCTGTCAGAATATGAAGGAGCATGAGCATCTGTGCCTTTACCTGGAACTTGAACGTAGTGATGTCTTCCGAATAGAAGCCCCTCTGTTTATTCACAATGTATTTTCTGATTGGAGGGAGATTGCACCAGGGACTTAGAGCTCGAGGTTTGCCCGGGGGATGAGGCACCGGTACGACACCAGGAAAACATTTCCTTTCCATCTCCTAGCAGAATAAAACAACGTTATGTGTGACGTTAATGTCAAACAATGAAGCCTGGATTTAATCCTGTTTAGCTGCATTTATCAGTAGACAGTACACTGGACGAGCTGCCTCAACCTAATGGTTGTCTATAAAGAACATTGTTTATGTTATATTTATATTGTTGCTTAATAAATACAAACGAATTGTTGCCTGTGTCACTTGGTCTTCTTTGTCCTGTAAGTGGAAACTGATGATGTGTTACTATGAATAATACAAAATGTGGATGAAAACTGTTATATAGCTATATTTTGTAAAAGAAAATGTGAAATCAACAACATCCACCGGCGAAACGTGTGAGTAACTTTTGTCACCTGTGTACGTCAAAGCAACTGCTGACGCTATCAGCTGTTAGCTAGCGCTAACAACATTTAACGCAACGTTGTGCTGCCACAGTTCGAGTCAGATTGAGCCCCATGACATTAACAAGTGACGTTACGTGACGTTTTCTTATTTAACTTTTGACATACCTTATCTTTGAATTCAATTGCGAGTGCTAACGCTGCTTTTTAATTGTCCTTTGCATGGCTCAAAATATTGTCGAGCTGAACTTTTGAAATCTCAGTTTCCAAGTGAAGGAAGTTAACTAACCGGTCTCTATGCGACCAGATTATAAACGTTACACACGGCAACGGTTATCATGGAGACGTCGCTGCACCAACGGCAGAGAGAGAGAGCGCGAGAGCGAGCGAGAGAGCGCGAGAGAGAGAGAGAGCAACAGATTATGAACACAATGTGTGAACACAATAAGAAAAACACGAACAGAGTAATTGCTCAGGGTCTCTTCTGAGATAAATATTAATTCAAACCACACCCAGTCCAACTAGTCGTCTTATTTAAACAGCTGGATAACTGCTGGATGAAAGCATTTGAATCTGGAAGCCGAAGACCCAAAACATAACTCAGAGTAAATAAAAAATGTTAAATATATATATATATATTAGTATTTAGTTTGAACCTCTGGGATATAGATACTCAAAACTGTGAGTAAACCACGAGAGAAATGTGACATAACACTGTTCTCCACAGGTAAGCACCAGGACACTCACATCCCATGCTGTTCCTGGTGAGGATGGTGATGGTAATGGCAGTAATGATAAGCTAATGGAATTTGATTGGAATGCACACTTTGCGCAGATTTCCAATCTTCTCCATTCACACTCATGACAGCTTGAATGTGTCCACAAGGGGGAAACCCCCATCAACCCGTGGATCCCCACACTCCTGGGTCACAAGGGCATCATAACGTTGTCTGTTTCCCATGGCAGATCACAGGCATCATGCACTGCGGCCCCTGCTCCGGCCCATGGCCTCTTCAGTTAAAACCCATCAGAGCAGCCGGAGATTGGGTAGCCAAGCACAAATGAATAGTCTCATGTGTCTAAAACCTTCACGTGTCACTTGCGTAGGACATGCTGCCACGCAGATATGGATAAATTAAGGGACCGGAGAGTCACTGAGGAGGTAAAGTGTGGCTGGGATCATGAGGACAAGGGGGTCAGAAGTGACTACATCACTGTACAACACTGAACAAATTGCTTTACAGTGGAGACAACGAACACAGGTCAAATAGAGTGACTTGATATGGATGCTATGGATACTGCAATACTGTGTAGCGGTCATTACTCAGTGTAGGCCCGTTTAGTAAGAGGCCTTCTGCTTCATTGGCTTCTTCTCAATAGAGTTCAGTCTCAAAACAATGACATCACCAGGAAGCCTAAACCAAATGAAAGACTTCGCCAAGGGTCTCAATAACCCACATCTAATAAAGACATTATCATATCAGAGTGGCCTCAACACTCAAAGCATCCTGACCACAGGAATTTATTAATCATCAACACATGTTCAATGGTATTGATTAAATCAGTGAGGAGATCCGGGGCCAGAGAGGTTTCAAAGAAAAGCCCACGAGAACCACAAGTCTCTGATGAGGTGGTGGTCCTCAAAACATGGTCGCCGACTACCAATGTTTGGTTGGCAGTACTGAAGCCATCTCTGGAGCCAGGAGCCCACCGTGGCGATGGGACTTGATTGAACAGATGTGCCCAGCAGCTCTGGGTGAGTGGAACTGATTAAATCCTAACAAGCTTTGTTACAGCTTTGATCCACCCAGTACTCGTCCTTTTCTCACTTCCCGTTCTAACGGTCCAGCAGTAGATATATATGCTAACATGAAAGGTCTGGCTCAACATCAACCGTTAAAGAACATCAATATTAGTCACTTACATAATCACTCAGATGTATAATCCATCCTCTCTTCATCCTCAAATCCTTATATTATTTATCCACTTCTCATCCTCCCTCTGCCCTACTTTGACAGTATTGGGATGTTGTGAGGGTCATGGCTCTGTGAATATAACTCCAATTTTACGCTAATGACATCAGTATGTGCCGCTAACTTTAGCTCCTTCTGAGGGCCAGATGTTGGCTGATGGGATCAAACACTGGCTATCCCCCTCTTACTGTCACATTGTTGGGCAAGCCAGGAGGGTTTAGCAGTTGCGCATATTCCCGCATACCTCCAGCAGAAACCCACAATCCAACCACAATTGCAGGCACACCCTTACGTCGCAGGGTGATTTTACTTTTGCATTTACACACAGGAATGGAAACATACAAAGGCATGCTGTGGTTTTCAGTAGAGGCTCATTAAACTTTCTTGAGAATAGACTGATATTTTTATTTAATTTCATAAGAAAACTGTGAAAAACATGCAGGGATCATTAGAGCATTAGAGCATCAGAGCTATAAAGTCTTCCTCGTGACTTACACATCGACACTATGGAACTACCAGGACCAAATAGAGCTCCTGGACACATTGTGTGAATAATTTAAACCTCACACTTACAACCTAATACACATCGCTGCACCCCATTTTCAAAGCACTTTTTTCCCTTTTAAAGAGCATCTGAGCGACAGCACCGCTGTGGTCAATGACTGTCACTGGTGTCAGTTCAAAGATGGACCGTAACCGCCGCAAGGGAAGCAATGGTCACGTTAACATCACAGTGTTTTGTGGCAGTGCATTTTACAAGAGCAAAGCAGATACCAGCAACATACATATGAGGCCGCCTCCATGCAGATGTGGTTTTTGACTTTGCCCAGTCATATGAAGTTGTTTAACGGTGACCCTTGTGCCTGGTCATACATTGAAGTTTCCGTCATGGCTTGGATGACTCACAGGTGGACTCTTGGCATGCCAATAAAAACTTGTTTAATGAGCAAAGGAGGGCCTCAAATAAAGCAAAGTGGCCAGACATGAGAGGCAGACTGGAACCCCCCCACCTGTGGCCCAGGACCTCAAACAGTTGCATTTGATTGTTTTTTCTTCTCTCATTTGCTACATTTGTTAGTGTGACTTTTAGGAAGAGAACCAAAGTCAGACAACACAGGTCGTAGAAATATTGAGCCCTGACAGAGAATTTCAGTGATGTAAAGTTAAAGAACTAAAGCTGCTTGTGTGAATTTATTATTGTTGTGGCTTTCTGCATCTAACCGACGTTGAACTCCAATGACTGTCCAGTATTTATCCCATCTTCATCGTGCTGACCTCCGACCCCCAGCACACTTAATGATATTTTTTCGGCTAGTTTATCCTCGTGTCAAACTACAGTTCCTTTGAATCCATTGAAGTTCTATGAAAGTTAAAATAAAATGTTATGTCAGCCAAGTCACTATCTTTTATCTAAGTGGGTGTGCGAATATGAGCTGGAAGAATAAGAAAGCAGTGAATGGAATCTGTAACACATGTGTGTGTGTGCGATTGTTTTTGTGGTAACAAACCAGTGTGTCTACTGGCATTCCAGTTTGTTTATGTGGGTGGGCGATGGAAAGCCAAGAACGATTCATCAAGAAATTGTGTCTGTGGTTGTGAATGTGCATGCATGTACATGTGTTTGTGTGTCAGAGGGACAATGTTTTTATGTGAGCCAGTTGGTGACGCACAAGAGTACATTTTGGTCTTGTTAGTTGATGACATCATAAACAGATATAAAGAAGTCAGACAGTCGGGGACACACGACTGAGGGGAGCAGTAGTATAGGAGTGTGTGTTTGCAAGTGTGCTTGAGGGTGGGAGATTCATTTGTTGTCCAATAATAAACAGGAGTTGAAGCTATAAATAAGTCACCACCGCTCAGCTGAAGTCTCCTCAAGTAAACCACTCTTTAATATTTCTGAAATTCCTCCTCGTTAAGCATTAATAAAGAATAAATGGAAACCGTTCTGCCTAGTTTCCACTTACACATACACACAATTCCACACACAAGCTAACAAGATGCACGCATTATTGGTTTGGCAAGCTGCCTGAGAGCTTCACTGAGGCCTCATCTGGCATCTATCAGTTTCTGGTCTGACAGCTTAATCTGTGTCATTCATCCTCTCACATCAAAGAGGCAACATGCTATTTAAACCCATCATGCTAGCACACTCACACAAATTAAGAGGTGCGAACAGACTTTGAACCGTCTCTTTGTGCATATTTAAAAAAAAAAAACTCCATGACATGAAAATTCATAGCACTCATCCCCAGGGAGTACATTTTCTTTTGTATGCTGTCCACATCGATTACCGTGCTCACAGTGATAATAAATTAAAGCAATAGAACAACTCAAACGATCCTAAAGAAATACAGTCCTCTTGGTTTTGTTGGACTTGAACTGTAGGCCTTTGTTGTTAACCTATCGCCTTGACCTTTAAACTTCAAACTATGTCAACTGACTGGCTTTGGGGAAGAGTTTCAGGAATTGCTGTATGACTTTAAGTGCAACTGTCTAAACTGGAATTTCTTGGCTCTACGGTATATATAAGACATCAGTACTGTGTACTTTAGATTTTTTAAAGCTACGAGTCTTCCTCCAAACAAGATAATTACCTCTGACCTCAGTGCTTACCTCAAGTACCTCCTATTAACCATTGCACTTACTGGTGGCTCTTGTGGCCAGTGGATAACGTCATATTGGGGCCTACTGTGTGCCGTTATAGTCTCCATAACAACAATTCCATAACAAACTGCGACACGTAAAGTAGACTGTTATATAAACTTCATCGTTCCAAATGAACACACGCTAACTGAATAGACGTTCTATTTGGAAAAACAAATCCGAGCGTGACCATGTTGGCTAAATGCAGTAAAGTCATGTAAGGAAGCAGCTTAATCCTCTTCATCCGTGGATGAATATATGAGCTGACATGTAGAACACAAGGACCGAGAGAAGACACGGAGGGAGATGGAGAATTGTGGAGTGACACCATGTGCTCCACAACACAAGAAGCCTGGAGAAACACTGGAGATTATAAGGGCGGGGAAGGGGGAGTCCCCGTTCGTCTGACCCCAGCTCTCTAACCCCCGGCCCCTATTAAGCCCTGTAAATGAGAGAAAGAGGAGTAATTAGAGAGGCAGTCACGCGGCAGGTAGGAGATCTCTGTGACCTTTCCTGGCTGGTATTTGACCTCTCCCAGCTGGGGGCCAGGATAAATATACATCCTGTACATCAAGAGAATGCATTCGCCAAGAGGTACTGAAAGAAAAAATGAGAAGACATTCTTCTCTCGGCACTTAGAATGAAACACGTGTCATTGACTGCTGTGGATTCTGTTGTTCATCCTCCTTGATACGCTCACGTTCTAAACAAGCACTTTATTTGATGTGGGCGGCTCTGCATTCCTATATCACAGAAAATTACCCTTAGTCAATTAAGAATGCAATGTGTTTTTTGCATTTTTAAAGGAGAAATGAGCAACCAAACTTAGCTTACTTGCACTTGAACCAGCTGCTCTTAAAATGTTTTATGGCTCTGCTGCAAACCTTGGCCTCAAACCTCAGTGACGTGAATTCATAAATACAGTACGAACTTCTGCAAGAACCAACCTGATTCTGTCAGTGGAAGCAAAACCACAGCTGGACCACACTGAAGATTTCCCTCTATGTTTTATCCATTACAAATGCACACAGGTCCTCCCATCCTGCAACCATGTGAAAAGATGTTAAACTCATTTCCGTGTGTCCCATCGATCCAGAACTGACTCCAAATCAGCACAAGGCAGCCATAAACTATGTCTGTATGCCACTAACACAACCAGATACCAGATAACAGCTAATCCCTCATAAATGGCATTACCCTAATCTCCCATAAAGCTAATCTTAGCATATACTGCACCACTGGAGTGTGACGAAAGGAGAAACTGTGAGATGCCAGAAGATGGAGAGCCTCCAGGTTTTATTGTGTGGAGGCTTGTGAGACGCTGTAGCTGGTGTTACGAGTGGAGATCAGGAGGACAGAGAGATGAAAGGAGAGACTAGCGAGGGGTGAACAAAGACAAATGTACTACTGGAGTTCAGAGACTGTGGAAAAGGAAATGAAAACTTTAACAGGGAGATACATTTAAAATCAACACAGATGGATGAATGTCAGATTAATAGGGTTTGATGACTGGGACAAAGTGATGATGTGAGTAACCCACTGCTGGCTGTTCATAAACATCATATTGTATTTTCTGTCAGAGCAAACATTGTCCATATGGCATTCCTTGGTAATTTTGTTTTCACTCTCCATTCGTGGGGAAAAGCAAGCAGGCGGGTCTGTAAAGAATTTGCATGGTATTAGAGACATTTATGGAAACCAATCCAATTCTGGGCGGCCATTCCAATGTTCTGAGCCCCATTTGAAGCTGAGCCATAAAACTGAAGCGACATGGTGTTTATTCTCTAAGGGAGGGAATATAGCAAAAGACTCAAGATTTCCTGATGTGTGTTGTTAAAATGAATTTAAAATGAATGACTGTCATATATCAGATGTGTTCACTATCCAGGGCTATAATGAATAATGGCAGAGTAATCTATCCAGTCAGGCAGACAGATGGGAGAAAGACCCTTTTCATGTTCAAGTCATTTGCATTAAACTCCAAGCTGTCACATTATTTTGGTGCCACAATGCCCCATCAAGCTGCAAATACTGCACTGAGGACTATTTGTGTCTCTCTTCTCAGGTTTCTTCCTGCTAGACTTCAAAGAGACCTGTAAATTGGAATCACTACAGCTGAAAAACAGAATAGCAGAAGCAGATAAACAAATTTCCTCGGTCCATTACGAGGCCCTGGTTAGTGGAGGGACCTGGCTTAGCTGGCTGTGCGGCTGGTTCACATTAACTGCGTTGACGAGCCCTGTCTGTCCTCTGCACACGATTTTTTCGCAGAATCCCAAATGGATGAAAGTCGGCCAGAGTTGAGAAAAAATACATCTTCTCCATCCAGGGTAGTTTTGGTTTAGCGTTGTTGCGGTACAACGTCCTCACCGTGTGTGTGTGCGTGCGTGTGTGTGGGCGGGGAGGACCATGGATAAATAGAGCACACACTCCTCTCCTGTGCGTAAACGCGCAGAGCGCTGGAACTCGCTGCGACTCGGAACTCTCAGATCGACTGTGAATTAATTAAAACATATACGTTTATTAATTAGCCTAGTATTGGATACATCATTTTCATCGTTTAGACACTTTTTGTTGCGCAAAAAGGATGACGACAAACCTCTATCAAATCTTAATTAAGTAATATTTCGTTGTTACGTCAAATATGGAGCGTTCATTCTTGACTGACCAATGATCCATCCCGTCCATCTTTGGCTGCATTGGGGGCGCAGAATCCACTTCTGTCAGAGAGACGCACTAGCTGTTACTGAGGATGCATTGAACTTTATGAAGGATTTTTTCGCCCCCACATTGTTCCCAGAAGGATACCGGGAAAATACTCATTGGAATCATCTGTATGCTTTGCGCATTGCGTAATTGGCAAGAAAATGCGCTTTGGCCGTTTGTCAGGCTGTACATAATGTTGGGACCAATCTCTGCTGGAAGGTGTTTGTCACACCATGTATGTTGTAAACGCAGCAGAAACAAGGATGAGAGTGCCTAATGTGCTTGGGAGAGATGCTTGGCATCAGATGCTGGTGGCGCTTTGTTGGCTGTTTTTGGCTCTAACGAGGAGCGGAGCAGGTGAGGTGCATCATCATCATCATATCTGTTGCTCCTCTTCCTCTAAGTCCTGCATCAGTGTGGCTGAACTTTTCGTTTTTATGGTTAGGCTATGTTAATGATTGGGCAGACCGTATGATAACTCAGCATGCGTTACATTGCTATGAAATTGATGACCTAATGATGTCTTACGTGAGTTCTTCATTGTGTTTGCTTAAGTTTCGCTGACCCAAAAGTAAAGTAAAGGCCATATACCTATTAGCCTACCTGCATGATTGTGTCTTGCCATTGCATGTAACGTGATAGTTTTAATGCTAATGAGGAAAGAGCGGGATTGTGTTTCACATCAGAGCAAGCAGCAGTGGCACAGTGGTCAGGCAAATTAAATATTCATGACAAACACAATGAGGAGGTTTTGTCCATGACGTCAGTGCTGGGAAGTGCTTGTTCTTTTTTGAAGATGTTTCTGTCACCAGCTATACTGTAAAAGCAGTGATCTGAATACCTGTTTGTGTTCTGCTGCCTCTCCATCCCCCTCTGTGTCAGTCTCCAGGTGTGTGGACCATGCATGTAGCCCACCAATCGGGAACTTGGCTAGTGGCAGGACCCTCTTCACCCACTCAAGCTGCTGTGGGAACAGCTCCTTCCACCACAGTCCTTGCCCAAATCCTCCGGTGAACCCCCACCTCCCCTGCCCCGAGGACACCCACCCATCTGCTCACATGACTGACGACCCTTTCTTGCATCCGGATACCTGGTGGGCATCAGGTGCAGGCACCGCCAACCAGCAGCAGGATGAGATCCGGTTGGACCTGGAAGCACACTTCTGTCTGTCCCATGTAGTTTTGGTGTTCAGGTCACCGCGGCCTGCTGCCATGGCCATTGAGCGTTCCGCTGACTTTGGAAAGACCTGGGAAGCTCTTAAGCTATTTGCGCACAATTGCAGCATGGAGTTTGGTTTGCCTGATGATTTTACTCAGCCAGGCTCTTTGTGTACATCCCGTTATACCAGCCCTACACCCTGCAGCGGGGGGGAGGTAAGAGAATATGCACAAAGATGCAGCGTATTTTCTTTTGGCATATCCACAATGTTTGATTCAGTGCTGATTGGTGCTCTCCTTCCAGGTAATAATACGGACACTTGACCCCAGCAGTGTTAAAAGACTGGACCCTTACAGTCCAGAGGCCCTCGTCCGCCTCACGCTCACTAATCTCCGCATCAGACTGCTAAAAGCTCAGACCTGTCCTGCACCTCTAAATCCCCCTGCGGAGTTGACAAGCCCCACAGCCTCAGCTCTGAATTCAACATCCACCAGAGAAAGCCCAGCTTCGGCACCTTATGCTATTTATACTTTACTGGCCAGAGGGACCTGCCTGTGCCATGGACATGCGGAGTACTGTGTACCATACAACAGCAGTCAAGACACAAGCCAGGACAGTAACATGGTGAGTGGATTTGTCCTGTGTGTGTAGGTACATGAAAAGTAAAAGAACGGCTATAAAAGAAAAACCATCACGAGAGAAAGTGTGTATCAGTTTTTGCACTCGCCTGTTTTCTATTGCAGTCTTGTATAACACACATGTCAGGAAGTTAGGTCCAGATGTACAATGTACTTACTGATGGAAAATTTGCCAGTGATTTTCTCTTTACACCACCTGCCTGGATCTATTTTATAGCTCTCCCCAGACTGCAGGTGTTTGTAACATTTGCTGGTGTAGGTGAAGTAACTGAGCAGAACAAGATGCGTTTTTTTCCAGGTGCCTGGTAGGTGCCTATGTACTCACCACACAGCGGGGGATCACTGTGAGAAGTGTGCCCCGCTCTACAATGATCGTCCCTGGAGGTCTGCCAACAGCAGCAGCGGGGAGTCCAACCCATGCCAGAGTAAGTGACCACAAACAGGACTGCACGATACTCATCTTGCTGAGAAAGAAAAGGCCAGAGAAGAGCTTTAAAGTGAATTAAATATTCATTTATTTTTTAAGGCACCACATAGCAGTGTTTCAAATACATACTCAAGACGTTTTTAGAAGAGCAATGATTTTCATACTTTTTCAAGACGTTTCATTTTTAGATCAGACCCCAGACATACAAACAAAAACATGTTAAAGGGTCTTTTTAAGACCTATTCAGAGATGGCCTCATATTGCTCATCACATGTGGTCAGTGCACCTTTGCTTCTGGCTGCTTGGACCCTGGTTTACCTTTCCAGTCTACTCTTTACATTTATTTCTGTATTGTCAATGTCAGCAAGGATGCAAATCATTTCTACAACACTAGATATATAGTTGCCTATAGTATACAAGTACACTACATATACAGAACAGACTTTTGATTCACTTGTCACCCAGTTTAGTTAGGGAAAGGCCTTCGGTTAATTAGGGAAACACCTAACACCTGTTAGGGAATCAGCGCTAGACCTAATGTTCCCTTTCTCTCTTCTCCCCTCCCTGGTGTCCTCACTGACGTCACACACACACCGCTGTGTGACTTCAGAGTGCCAGTGTCACGGTCACGCAGATAGCTGCCACTTCTCTCAGCGGGCATGGCTTTCCTCCAGTGGCATCAGTGGGGGCGTTTGTGATGACTGCAGACACAACACTGTTGGGCGCAGGTGCAAGCGCTGTCGCCCCGGCCACCACCGCCACCCATTGCTGCCCCTCAACTCCCCCCACGCCTGCACACGTAAGAGACTCAGAACTGGGGGGGGGGGGGGGGCTTCACTTGCTCTGGTGTGGGATTGGCTAATATGTTTTCAGACAGACAGAAAAGCAAAATAAAGGTTTAATGGTTGATTTGACCCCTGTGGGATGTTTGTGGATGAAATTAAAAGGAATCATAATGTTGTAGAGCTCCATCTGCTGGCATATGTTTGTAAATAGAATAAGAGAAATAAAAACAAATGTTTGAGCAGCATACACAACGGTATCTGTGTCTCTGTTCCTCAGGCTGCTGGTGTGATCCACAGGGCTCTTTGCCTACTCGTCCAGGAGAGGAGGGACCCTGGTGCCACCCTAGAAGCGGGCAGTGCCACTGCAAATCTGGTGTAGGCAGCAAGAGCTGCAGCCACTGCCTGCCTGGCTATTGGGGTTTTGGAGAGGAGGGCTGTAAACGCTGCACATGCCCTCACAGCTGTGATCCAACCACTGGGCAGTGTCTGGACAGGTTAGCCATGTATGCTTAATTCAACCAAATCATTTACACCTGAACACAGAACCTAAAATGTAACTATTAACAATGAACCTTAACCCGATGAGTTCAATTCCACTTTTGCAGCTCCTCAAATAACCAGGTGTTCAATGTGCCCATTGGTGGAAAAATCCCTGATCTGGATCACATGTTCACGATAGAAGAAGAGGTACAGTGGTCGAAGGAGCTTGCGGTCTCTGCTCTGCATTACACAGGTGAGTAGTACTTTGACGTTCATCTGCATTGCAAGGCTTACAATTGTGGAATCCTGCAGTGTAATTATGGAGATATAAGTGGATTGGCATATAACTCAACATCTGTACACAGGAAAGTGTAGCTGTAAGGAGAAAAAGCTGAGAAGTGTGTCTGACCTCTGTAAGATCAAATATGATTATGGTAAGAAATGATGAGCAATTGTCACTTGTTTAATAAGGTGTTATCCATACTTGCTTTAAAATACTGTCTCTGTCTTATCGTTTTTATTGTGTGGTCATGACAGTGATCAAGGCCAGTGTGCTGTCTGCTCACGACAAAGGCAGCCACGCAGAAGTGCAGGTCAAAGTTTGCAAAGTCCTTCGATCAGGCAATGTGGCACTCTACTTAGGGACCATCAGCATCTATCCTCTGTCCTGGACCAGCCGCGGCTGCACCTGTCCTATTCTAAACCCAGGTAAGGTGAGTTTGAAGCAATACAAAGAAAATGAATTTGTGATGTGGTACCCGAAGCACCGCACTGGTCAGTTCAAAGTATTCTTGAAGAGACTTTCAGCATTAAAAGATGAATATTTAAGGTGAACAAACATTGACACAAAAGAGCGAACACCAAAGAGATAGATTTGTAATAAGATTAGGTCCATTGACAATGTCTTACCTTTTTCCACCAGGTATGGAGTACCTGCTGGCAGGCCCAGAGGAGGCCGGGACAGGCCGTCTACTGGTCACCATGCAGAGTGTGGTGGTCCCATGGACACCCCGACTCGGACTAATTATATCAGAGGGTCTGAGGAATGGATGTACGTGAATAGAGATCCAAAAAAAGCAGAACTGGCTTCAGAGGATTTCTTAAGGAAATTTCAGACTGTGGACAATTCAGAAAAAAGACTGAAAGTCGCTGGACAATATGCTGCGTCATAAGGACGTTATCAAAGAGTCAAACTCATGATCGTTCTCGCTCAGAACATTGAAGAAAGGTACTCACAACGTGCGAGTGTGCAACACAAAAGACAAATGAATTCCTGGATTTGTTAAGTCCAACAAATATCTTCTTCAATGTCTTTAAGTTGTTATCATACAGAAAATATAAGAAGCACAAAACCCTTGAGCTTTAGCTCTTTGAATGTCTAGTTGGGTTGCATTACTTGTATTTAAAACTTTTGTTGTAAATGGTAAATATAATACATTTTGAAAATAATTTGGATTCAATGAAATGAAACTATAAATTACTAATATACAGGCAATATAATGAGATAAGTTAAAGCTGTAAATATGATGGTGTGGTTCTGTCTTATTGTCGTCAACTTGTAAATATTCTGGGCAACTTCAGAGAGAAAATCTCAGACTTTCAACGTGTAAAGATGAACATTACTGACATACGAGGGCATTGGTGCCTCAAGAACAAACGGAAAAGTTAAATTGAAATACTTTGATTATAGTTTTAATCTGGACATGTCTGAGAAATATCGATCAAGTCTTTTAAGGCCTGAATGTCAGTGAATAGTGACCACAGCATCCAACTGCAGACTCTACACAGAAGACAACAAGAACATTTACACAGTGACAGTTGAATGTGCCAAAACACCACTTTGGTCTAGAACAGATACAGTCAATTAGGAAATATGACGACCGTTGTTCATATGCGGTGAGATGAGACCCCTGAAGTTTCTACAAGATGTCAAAAAACACAACTAAAAACATCTCAGAAGCCGAAACAGTAGCCTTGTTTTCTTACCAATTACCTGCTTGTTGGTCTCTCAAATGATGCAAAGCAAAGAGATTAACGGTTACGTCATAGTAAGAGTCAAAAATGTGAATTCCTAAGCTGAGCATTGCTCAAATAACAAAAATCCAGTGATTACGGTTTAGATCTGTCAAACAACACACATATTGAACGCTAACAAACAAGCTATTCTGATTGACACGCAGTAAATTAAATTCCAATTGCATATAAAGTCTTTCAATTAATGTCCCTGCAGCGAACAGCTTGGCCAGCTGTCATTAAATCATATTATTCAATGTTTTTTGATTGCTCAGCAAACAAAGCAGCCTAAACTCTTGTACAAACGCTACGTTTCTCTGCCGTCACAAAGTCCTTCTCCGATGGCCTGCAACTATTGCCCACGGGTGTCACAGCTCTGACGTGGAGAGTCAGTTATGCTGGGCAGTGCTTGCACACAGAAGCTCGGGTGACCGGCCTTAGCTGGCGGTCTGGTTGTCTGTGAGTGACGGGCTGTCAGGCGAGACGGCAGACTCGGATGTTGAGGCGGCTGTGGTAGAGTCAGTTTCAGGGGGTAAGGCGGAGCCCTCGGTCGGGTCGGTGGAGACGGAACCAGAGCCGGACTCTGCTTGGGAGGAGCTTTCTTTATCTTCATCCTGAGGATAGAGCTCGGGGTACCTCTGCATGCACTCTTGCATGTTGCGGAAGTTGTCGATGCACTCGGAGCCCTTCACCTCTTCCGTACTGTAGTGGAAGCAGGAAAAGGCCTCTTTGAACTGAGAGCCGCACGGTCCGCTGGACATGCCGCCCAGGCACGGACAGTTCCAGTTGACGTCACCATTCGGCAGGATCAGACCTGAAGAAACAGGATCAAGTTAGAATACCTTTGTGGCGGTAAGGAATGTTTGACAGTCAGGCCCACTGTTTCCACTAAATGACTAACCCTGCTCCTCATAAGGATCATTGGGGTCATCTGCAATGAGCTCAGCGTTGCTGGGAGCCTCGTGGTCCTCCTTGGTCACAAAGATGATGCGGTCTTTACCTTCATTGACAAAAAACACAAGCAAGGAAAACATCATGGGTTACAGACAAGCAGAAGACCTGGGGTACTTCTCAAGTCTCTTAATTGTCGTTTCCTCGATCCTCGCTTGAACCGGAAGTTGTTTCTGCGCCGTCATATTGACGGCCGTCCCAAAGCTCTTATTTAGCTTGGAGGAGCGAGGATGGAGGATGGAGGAGGGACCTCGGAGGAGCCATGAGCGAGGAACCACGAGAACAGACTTCCAGGAAGTCTTTTAACAGCCGACACGCCCCCTCATTGTTCATCAGTTATGTGATTGGACGCTGCAGCCGATCCGACTGACTAGAGTTTCATACCAGAGTGAAGACGGATCACAGAATAAACTCAAGCTTTATATTTGATTAGGTTTCTGATTCAACATCTGGTTTAAATATATGTTCATTGTAGACTGAACAAAAAGGACCACAAACAACTTTTATTAGAACTTCATTTATTAGAAAGATTTGTGTTTTCATGATCTGATATTTCCCTCAATAACTTTTATTATGAATACAATTAAAGTCAGAGAGAGCTGGAGAGATTAAACACTTTTTACATCATTCCTGAGTGTTTGATGAGTTTTATCATTTAAGAGAAACAATAATCATACTCTGGGTTATTTAATAATGACGCCACAGTCACAATTTCAAAACGTACAGACGCAAATAATTCATAAATAAGACGATCGCATTCCGCTGGTAGAAATCGATCCCGTTCTTATAAACAGAACACAGTTTGTTAACAGACTACAGAGAGAAACACCTCTACACTGATGATAACTGTGTCTTTATTAGTCATTAGTATTATTAATTACTATTATTAAGTACAGTGATCATGTGAACAGACACAAACTTATCAAGTCTCTCCAGCTGTTAAAGCCGACTGACAACTGATCCAGCTGTGATCATCAGCCACCTTCATCAGAAACAGACGTCGCTTCACGTGACGCAACTGAGGAAAGGACGTCTCATGTCTCTTAAAACATATTTCCTCGTTCCTCTCTCCTCGCATGGTTTCCTCCATACATCCCTGGTGGGAGGGACTGAGACGCAAGGAAAGGACGCAAGCGAAGGAAACGGGGATGCAATTAAGAGACTTGAGAAGTACCCTTGGTCCTGGAGAATATAGCTGTACTATTTGGTTGACAGTGACCCCTAACAGCGCACTTTGACAGTAGCTCTTCGACTTAACCTGCTCCAACAGGACGGTCAGGACCAGAGCTAACCGGTTCTCCCAATTTGCGACTTGACGTTACGTTAAATAAGAGCAGCGAACAGTGTTACTTTGTCATCACAATGCCAGAGCCTATCATAAACATGCCTGTACTGTTGCTTTCCTCGTCGCTAGCCATGTAGCTAACCTACTGTACGTTAGCCTAGCATGGTGGCTCGCTCGATGGCATTGGACGTCATGGAGTTTAAAAATTAACGAAAGAAAAATTGACATTACCCTCCTGCTTGCAGTACGACATTCCTTCCGGTGCTTTTGTCCGTCGCCCGCTGCGGTAAAAGATGACCAGTGTGAGAGGAATTTAAGGCTACTTGGCAACTGCAAGGATCTCATTTGAAAAGCTAACCGGCGTCCGACATCCCCGTTACGCCTCTGACCCTCCGGTCACATGTGGGCGCACCGTAATGACGTCACAAGGTCCTTTAAAAAATATATATATATACGTATGAACACAAGAACTACCTTAAAACAGGTTGTAAATGTTTTCTATTTAATTCATACTACAAGACATGTATAGGTGTTTATATATATCATTCTTTAAAAAAAGTGAAACTAAACTAAATAAACTGAATTTACAAATAGATTTAACAATAATGTCAGATTATAATTTGGACCTACAGAGTTGCCTCGTGCTTCCTATTTGGTTCTATTAGTCATATGACCTGTGAGTGATGAGTTAACCTGAACGCCTATACATTTACCCCTCTACTACGAAAGCGATCACGGGAAACGGTGTGTTGTTGTCCGTCACTCCCTCGGGAGGTGATTCATTTCTGCCACAGAGGTGTGCACGGCAAACTACAGGTGGTATCCACGCTCACACAGCCCACAGTCTAATGTGCTGCAAGCTTCCATGTAAAGAGCTAGCAGAGTGTATCGGGGACAAAATGGTAAACTAAAAGAAATAAAACAAACTGTTAAATAACCTAAACGTATTCTTACTGATCACCTAATTAAATAGTCATTAATGCATAGCCTCAACTTATGTTTGGTGACTCTCATTCTTCAAATCATAGGATATCTAGTAGTAGTAAGTAGTAATGGGTAGCTGTACTTCTGGTTTGTCTGGAAGGCAATTCATCTCTTATTTATCCTCATTTTCATTGTCACATTAGAGCTCTGTTAAGCAACATTTAATACAAACACTGAATGTAATGTGAGAAGGTTGCCAGTAGTAATGGACTGGCATATACAGTTTGAATAGCAACCCCTCACCTGGTTATAGAGTATATTTTACTCTTTACTATGTGAAACAAGTTGATCTTAAACCTCATACAGTGACCTCAAGTGGAAGTTAAGTGATTTGTAGTTACAGTAACTGAATTAAACTACTAGTTATAAATCAACTCATGGGACATAAACTGGTCTCATCTCTAGATCAGACTAACAGCCCTAGTAAGTTAATAAGTATGTCGTAGCCTGTTGCTCTAAGATTGTTTTACTTCCCTTTAGTGTCATATTCAGCTTTACCTATCAATGATGTGCGCCAACACAATTCTATGCCACTATTAATGATGTCCCCCACAAATAATATTCTGTCGTGGTCACAGAACATGCAAGGACGAGACAATAGGAATCAAAACAAAATGTTCAAGTATGTTGGAAAAAAAAAAAAAAAAATATCCTGTTTTTTTTTTTTTAATAACACAATTATGTTTGTTACATAAAGTAAAAACCAAAATGAAACCCCTTTTCATCCCTATCAAACCCACCCTCATCCCGACCATCTCGGCAGTATTGTGCAGCGATTCAGTCTGGGAATAAAAGAGCATGACGATACTGACAAACACTTTCCTTTGAGGACAAACACTTTGCCCTACATAAGACCAGAGTGAATATAAACATAGTCTGTCATTTAAAATAAAAGGTAAATAAAAACCACAGACAGCTTGTCTGAGATTACAAGAACCCTATTTAGGAGTACAAGCATATTTATACTTTTCACATCCTACTATGGGCCCCCAGAAACCTCAAGCCTGATTGCTACTTTTGATGAACACGACATGGTTTTCTTTCATTTCCCCCGAAATGTCCAGGCAGTGCTTTCAGCTTGAAATAAGCACTAACTCGTCATCGCCGTCTTAGTGTTCCTTGAACATGCTGCAATGAACAATGCCTGAGGTAAGTCAAAGACAGCACCTCACACGCATGTGCGTGTAGGCATTCTTCAGCTGATAAAGACAGTCAGTGGGTACAGAGGCAGCCTGCAGAGAGATGGGTAATAGCTATTGGAGTAAAAGGACTGAAGACGCACAATGCTGTGCTCAAAGTATAAAGGTTTTCACAGCATTGACATGCTGGAGAGGTAACGATGGAAAACACAAGGTGGCGGAGAAAGATTACCTATCCCAGCAGCAAAATGTAGTTTGTGCGATTTGCAAAATAAAAATGGGGGGGGGATGCTTTGTGTCTGATGTGTGTCAGAAGGTTGGTGTTTTTCCTAGAAAAGCAGTGCTCCCATGCTGCCCACTTCGCTCTGCTCCTTCACAAAGATTTCAAAGTACTGGTAGATGATGGTCACAGCCAAGAGGATTCCTGTACCCGAACCGATGGCACCCAGGAAGTCCGCCATGACAGACAGCCCTCCTATGCAGAGGCCACCAAAGGCAGCAGCTGTGGGGATATACCTGTGAGGAGTGAATGCATTATAAATACATACATATTCTGGAGGACAACTTTCAATGTGCTGCAAGTAGCAAACATGAAACCCGAGACTCTGTTTGCTTTGTACCTGTTAAGCTCATGCACCATCGAGGTCTCTCTGTGTCCCCTCATTACCATCTGCTGCTCCTTCAGCTGCTTCGCCACCTGAGACGCACAAAGTGATATAAACAGGTTAATTTCATGCGGGACTAACGCGAGGCAAGGAGGAAATGCTTGTACAAACAAAGACTTACATCTTTGGCAGAGGATCCTGAGACCTCAATCCAGGTCTTGGAGAAGAAGGCGCAGGAACCGAGCATGAAGACAATGTAGATACCGGCGTGAACCGGGTCGTCTAGGACAGAACCAAACGACTCTGGAGGAGAAAGGTAGTAGCAGAGACCGGCCACTGGGTAGGCCCGAGCTGGTCCACCACTTGTGGCGTCCTGAACAAAACAAGATTTTGATCGTAAGATGCTGATCGTCCATGACTTAAATAGATCACAAGAGACAGAACCTGACGGATCCTCTTCATGACAATAACTAAGACTCCTTGATACAATCTAATGGTCTGCAAATGTGTCGCAAAAGACTGAGACCATAAGTGCTGGAGGCGGAGCACCCATTAAATACTTACAGACCAGGTTCCCAGGAGGTTGACGAGGAAGTTGCCGCTGAAACGCGTCGAGAGCATCTGAGAAATGACGTAGAGATTGGAGACCAGGGCAGACTGCAGGATGATGGGAATGTTGGAGGTGTAGAACAGTTTGATGGGATAGGTGTTGTATTGACCACGGTAGCGCGCTGATTTTATGGGCAGGTCCACCCTGAAGCCCTGGTGAGGTAACAAAGTGTGCTGATCAGTAAGCTGATAATCTGCTTCAAAACATGTCGTCCAAATTCCTTTAGTGCAACAACAGCAGGTAAGACACTGTAGTTAGTTGGTGTTGCCGGCTTACCTGGAAGTATATGACCACTGCAAACACAAAGACGGTGGCGATGAGGTTCATGAGGTTAGGCAGGTTTTGTCTGTAGAAGCCCTCTCTCAGGGCACGCACCTTGTCTGTGCGGGTGGCCAGAAGATGAAATAGAGCAATGATGGCTCCCTCAAACTCAGTACCTGGATAAACAACAGGAGTCACGGGGTTAGCAGTTATAATACAGATGATGTCTCTCATTTATCATCACTTGGCTTTGAGATGTGTTCGTACCTCTGCCAGTGTTGACAGTGGTGGGGCTGAAGGCCTTCCAAACGATTGTCTCACAGATGTTGGTTGCGATGAAGAGAGAGATTCCAGAGCCCAGACCATAGCCCTTCTGGAGCAGCTCATCCAGCAGCAGGACAATCAGACCGGCAACAAAGAGCTGAAGGAACGGACAAGAGGTTTTGTATTGAGCCGAATCAGGCAGACGGCCAGCTTTTCAAAACAGCAAAACATTATAAGAGTCAAAATCAACATGTCAGGGTTTGAATTTTCAAATATTCTGCCTCCCCCACGAAGGGAGACGATTACAATTTCATCTTAATTTGTAAGATATTTGTAAATTAATTTGAAAATAATGTAAAGGAACACACGTACTGCACAAGAGCTAACATGTTTTATATTCAACCCCTTGTTTTATATAAAACACAATTTCATACACAGAGTCGGTTTCCAGATACAAAGTGAAGGCAGGAGAGCAGCAGCGGGTTTGTATTAACCTGAATGATGATGAGCAAGCATATACCAGCACCCATCTCTGAAGGGTCTCCATACATGCCAGTCATAACATATACAATGGCCTGTCCAATGGTGATGATCATTCCAAACACTGCAAAAAGACAGAAAAAAAATGATTTGCAATTGGCAATCTTGCAGGGACAGCTGATGTTACTAAACAATAAACAGTGTGTGCCATCTTCAAAAGCTAATTTTAAAAAATCATCAGTTTCAAAAGGCATGTGACGAGGTCTAAAAATAGCAAATGTAGTGAGCAAGTACACCTACATTTCTGAGCTCCATTGAAAAGGGCTCTGTCCTTAGGAGTGTCTCCCACCTCAATGATCTTGGCACCAGCCAGCAGCTGCATGATAAGGCCTGAGGTGACAATGGGTGAGATGCCCAGCTCCATCAGAGTACCTGGAGGTGAACAGCAGTAGTGTCAAAAACAGCAGCAACACCAGAAACAATGCATAAGGGCCTTTATCTGATGACCTTTGACTTGTGATAATGAGATTATGTCAAACATTAAGATTATTTCTATTTATTGGAGCTGCACAGGACATAAAAGAAGTGATTAACCCTGTTAAACAAATCAAGCACCTCTGTTGGACGCCAGGATTACTCTCATCCAGTAGAAAGGATCTGCTGAATCTGAAGACATGATGCCAAAAAGAGGAATCTAGATCAAGAAAAAAAAAAAGATGTAAAACAGTGTCACAAACCAGTATCACCCCTAACAGAACCAGTAGGTTGCTCGTCATCAACAGATACTAACCTGGCAGCACACCAGGAAGATGAATAGTGTGATGGCGGTCCATAGTACTTTTTCTCTAAATTGAATCTGCGAGGATTAAAAAAAATGAGCACGTCATTCATATATGCACCGTGCAGACATGATGCAATGTAATTATATATGTTAACAGGAAATTTACGTACCTTTCTTTCTGGTTTCTGAATTTCTGGCAAGACCGCACAGAACGGCTTGATGACCTCCAAAAACTTAACTGCAGAAAGAGATTTTAAAACATGAG